ATACCCCTTCAGAGGTTAAACATCAGCTTTCCAAAGTGTAATGAAGTGTAAAAGTTCTCATTATGTAATCATGCCTACCTGTTAAGAGCTTTCATAACTAAAACTACTCTCAGAGGGCTCACATCTGCTCCCACAGCCTGTCTCGTGTCTGTGTGTTTTGTAATTACATTTCAGCCCCGTCCATGAGTAGTTCATTAAGGAAGAGCTCAGTCAGAGGAACTTGATCTGTGGGTTAATGAGGGGGACAGCTCAACATGGCCAGTGTGTGTCCAGGGCACAGAGGCAGGAGATGGGATGAAACACAAACCATTTAATCAGGACCTATAATGACACTGGTTAGTTTTATTACATCTTTGTAACGGGAAGGACCCCCCTGATGTACATGACATGGCTATATCATGTCGGATTAAGTGAACACAAGGATGTAAAGCGAGGAGTACTCTTACAGCTCAGGTAGTGTAGGGTAATGAATACTAGTTTGATGTAGCGTGGTCAGAATGATTAAAAAAAATCAAGATAGTAATCAATTAGGGCTGGGCAATTAATTGAAAGATCGAGAATTAATGAATTAGTTGTGTCCAATTATCAATGATTTAGAGCAGAATTCTAACTCTAGAGGGAAAAAAGGGGGTTTTGTGTTAAATGGCACTGATTAAAGTCTGGATTGTATTGTATGTTCATGAACTCAATGCTAAGAGCCATTTTTCTTTTGTTATTGAAGAGACTAGATAAAATTGAATAAACAATCAAGTAATATGAGGAAAAAAATCTTGATTCATTTTTTTCCCATATCACCCAGCTCTATAATGAGTACTCAGACTATTGAATAGTTTTGAAGTGAAATACTCCTCAATAGTTTTAGAATGATCTTGAGCTTTATCAGAATTTGTATAAGAACACATGGTGTAATAAAGAAAATATTGTTTGTATTGATAATGACTAATGTCTAGTATCTACTAGTATCTAAAAAAGAACATTTTTATCATCATTGTGGCATCAAAAACATGCATGAATGAAACAAAACACAACTCCATGTATGTTTGTGATGTGGAAACAACGTTATAACAGAGATCAGAAAATAGCGTAATATGTCCCCTTTAATGTAAAATGTTTATCAGCCATACCAATCAGAAAGTAAGTCACTTTTGAACTCACTTCAGAAAGCGTTGCGTATCCCAAAGAGATTGTGGTTGTGCTGACCTGTGAAGTTAGTTTCTCCCATCATTCAAAGAAATCAAATGAATCAGTACATTTATTTTTAGCCTGCCCTGCTGTGAGTATAGAGTGAGCTGTCCCTGTATCACCTTCGCAACTACCTGGCCACTGTCCACAATGATAGGCTCCAGCCACTCGCGACCGAAACAAGCGAATGGTCAGTCACTGGTCAGCCCATCACTGCAGCATTTGGAAAAGTGCAAGTACAACTTTTCCTGAAGGTTATTACTTTGGCACAAACTCAACATCTAACTTTGACTCACAGTAAAGCTTTGTAGAAAGGTCTGTCGATTTATCGTACAATATATGAAAGCTAGAACAATTTTTTTGGGGGTCAGTATACATCGCATGTACATTTTCTTTGCAATACTGGGAAAATTTGGGTTATTTTTTGGCTTTATGATGAGATTTAAAGGTACACTGTGTAGCTTTTCTAGTAGAGGGTCTGCCATCTGCTTAACTCCATGCAGATGTTGTTGTTTTTTTCCTGGAATGTTATACAGATTATGATATTTTACTTAACTATCTCCATGGAGACATCACTAGGCCAAGTTACAGGTCAGATCTGTGGAGAAGTGGGGAAGCTCAGAGTATTAATGTAAGTTTTGGTGGCATTTTTGAGAAATAGAAACACCTGTTAATTGAATAAATATAACACTTAATGCCATACTGTGGAACGTCCCAGGCAAAGCAATAATATCACCATGGAGACATTGAGATGACGGATCCTACACTAGAGAAGTTACACAGTGCACCTTTAAGCCTTAAAACTTTGAATTTAAAACTTCTATGACTCATTACAGATGTAAACTAAGTGCTAAAGTGTTTCATTCTTCTGTATATTTGTTGCAGCTCATGATTTTTTAACAATGTTGTACACTTAAAATAGTTTTTGTGGTTTAAGTCTGCTCTCGGGTTATTGTGTGAGTGGCGTACATTTATCTGAATATTATCGTTTATTGTCTATTTTATTTAACAGTATATCGCACTTCAAATGTTTTTTTTTATTGTGACAGGCCTGTACTGTGTATCTGTACAGTAGCAAAAGTCTCTGTACTAGTGGTTTGATATTTTAGTGTTACCAAATCCTTACACAGGCCTGTCATCTCCTGTTGAAGATTAATGGTGATGTAAGAGTAGTCTCACTGCCCAAAGCTCTTTTTTCTGTTGTTAATAAAGACAAAGCTTTGGTGTCCCGCAACCAACCAGCCAGCCACTTTGTCTGATGGAGCCGAGCAGTGAAGAGGGAACCGTAGAACTGGGCTGGATACGGATCAGTGGGGATTAATGATCAGATAACTACAAACCACAATGAAATCTCCCCATGTCGTTCTCTATCTCTGTCCTCCACTGTCACGCTGCAGAGTGAGACACGCTCAGCCCATTCAAGGAACAATGGAGAGGAAATAGAACTACCAGAAATATGACAGGATCAGAATCTACTGAGTACAGATTTGTGGAATAGCAGCTGTGGGGATGAAGTCATTGCATGATCTCTGCCAGAAAGTTAAAAAGTAAGATGCATGCATGTCAATAAAGTAGGAAATATTTATGTAATTATTGTTTTAAAAAGCAGATATTTGAAACATAATTTATCCTTCTTAGCTACTTTTATATCCTAAAGCAGATGTGCCCAATCTTTTTCCTTGGTGGGCCAAAATGAATATATATATATATATATATATGCAGTCCAAGGGCCAAACTTTTTAAAGTAAAAAAGTTGTATTTATCAATAGGTTGTATTAATTATTGTTCTATTTAGAGGAATAGAGGGTTGTGCTTTCTTTTACTGACAATACTAATAATAATTTAGTGACAAATAATTTTCAACACAGAATTTAAGTAAAATAGATCATCTCACCACCCCACTTTGGACACCCCTGTCCTTAAATATTAAAGGTGCACTGTGTAACTTTTCCGCCACCGGCTTGTCTCCGTTGAGTTATTATTGCTTGACCTGGAATGTTCCCCAGTATAGCAATAATTTTATCTATCTTCAGAGAGATGAGCAGGTGATGACACAGTAAGATGAGCAAGGAGAGTCACAATACTAAAAGTTTAAACTCAACTTTGATAAGGGTTAAGTCTGAGGTTAAGTCATGATATATTCATATTGTTTTTACACTACTGGTTACTTTTAGTTCTAATATAGTTCTGTGTGTGTCTGTGTGTGTATGATTTTTACAATCTTTTGTAGCAATTAAAGCCTGCAAATAATAAATGCCAATTAGTATGGTGCTGCTAATATGAAAAAAAGGGAAAAAATCACAGGGCGTGATTGATTAATGGATGATGTGATGATATGATAGGCAGATTAACCAATCAGAGAAACACATGGTCCATAGGCATCAAAAATACATGGCTGCTTACATGAAAAAAGGGGGAAAACAACATAAAGGACTGAGAAACAGCGCAGATTTTTATAGAATCAACAATCAAAGCACTAAACGATTACTTACCTCAGATAAAAGAATTTATATATTTTGTTCTGAAAAAAAACTTAAAATTGAGAGGAGATGTCTTCCACAATTGAGAGACACGTGCTTCAAATTAGCAGCTGTGGTTGGATCATCTCAAGTTTGGATGAAGATTTTCACCTTCTCCTTGTCCCATCCCAGCCAGTCCTTTCTACATTCTGTTCGAATCCAAAAGCAACTGGCTGGTCAGGCAACACAGATGCACCAATGTCACATTGGTAGTTCATATTTACTGTGTTTTCTTTCTGAGTAGTAGTGTAATTTTAATCTGTGGGCTATCTGTTGTGATAGCCTAAGTCCTCTATTCCCTTCATCATTTTCCATCTCTCATTTCAGTGTACCCCCTGCGTCGTGCCAGTACTCTGGTGTTTTGGAGGGTCTCAGGCCTGTTGACTCTGTTGGCTGCATGTGTCTATTTCTGCTCTGGTGCCAACTGCCTCTTAATCACTGTTGCTATGTTTGGCCACACTTGCGTAGGTTACTAGATTTCCCCAAAGAAGGATTGATTTGTTCTCTTTTAATCTCAAAGTAGGGCACTAGTTTGGAGCTTTGATTTCCTGGCCCAAATGCATTTAAGGTTCTGGCATTTGTACACTTAGTCTCAGCCAAAATGTGGAGGATGTTTAAAGCACTTTCTGAAATGCTTGTTTCTGCTGGTGATCATCAACACATTTGCTTTGCTCAATGTCAGAATATTATTTCCACTTAAACTGCAGGCTCTAGAAAATACCAGAATAAAACTAATAGACAGATTTGGGGTCCCTTGAGTCCCGAGCACTCACATCCTACCACAGTACACTCTAATGAAGGACACCTTGAAAAAATATTTGCAGTGCTGAACTCCCAGAATGCACTTGTTATCCCTGAGGAGGCACTTAGTAGTAATATTGTGCAGGTGAGAGATCAGCGAAGATGGAAAACTCTGAACATATAATTCAATATGCTCTATTATTCTATTTCCAGGTCTCTGAATAGACAGAGTAAAAAAAATACAGAGTGCAGGCAGGTCTTGGAAGAGCTAAAAAGAAAAATGACAAATCTGCTCTTGTGTGACTCAGAGCTGCTGACGCCTCCGCATATCAACAAACATGTACTTATCCTACAGTCTGTGCCCTTTATGAAATGTGCCATTTTCTACTTGTTTGCACTAGAAAAATATCTATAATGATTCAGTCAATGCAGAAATAGTAGGCTAATGATCACATTCATTATATCTAGGTTATAGGCACACAACACACTCCCTTGGATGAAGAATGTGTTAACCCATTTTAATGCTACCTGTAATGCTATTTATATCTGTTCCTGCAGTGTGTGGGGGAGGAGAACTGGGTGGACAATCGGACGGTGTACATCGGGCACAAAGAACCCCCACCAGGAGCCGAGGCCTACATCCCTCAGCGTTACCCCGACAACCGCATAGTCTCCTCCAAGGTGACGCAGCGCCACTGACTACTGTTATTTAAAACTTTGTCATTGAGTTCAATTATATGTTAACGTAAACATCACACTTTCTAATTATACCTCCTGTCTTGCAGTATACTTTCTGGAACTTCATCCCCAAAAATCTGTTTGAGCAGTTTAGAAGAATAGCGAACTTTTACTTCTTGGTCATATTTCTGGTCCAGGTATGTATTCAGTCAATTATTTAAATATTACAACTGTAATGTTATTGCGAATATTATTCTGAATAATAATTATGCTGTTATTAACATTTTACATCTTATTCCTACAAACATGTATGGTAATGTTATTCCTCTTCAAGAAAAAATTACTAGTACTATAGCTAAATTTATATAAAGAGTTAAAAAGTCAGTAATTGCCCCTGTCTTTATAGTAAAACAATTATGTCTCTCTTGGATGTATAATACTAATTATTGTGTATTTGCCCTTTCCTCGCCCTCCCTCTGTAACCCTCTTCCACTCTTCTTCTCTGTACCGTGCAGCTCATCATCGACACCCCCACTAGCCCCATCACCAGCGGCCTGCCCCTCTTCTTTGTTATCACTGTCACCGCCATAAAACAGGTAGGACACACACAAATGCGCTCACGTTTCCTGGAAAATATTTCTCGTTCTGCCTCATTCTCTTCCCATCTCCAAACACACTCTGCGGTCCATCAACGGGCCGCTCTATTATCCGCGGATACACATTCCTCTCCCAAGCCAAAGGACATGCCATTGAATCTGTCTGGTGATGTGAGAAATATGATAATGAATAGTCTCCTCTGTTAATCACTCTCTCTGAGCGCCCCGTGCCCCTGGGACATGCATATCCTCTCGTCCGTCCCATACTGAGGGATGGTCCACTGTGGGTGATGGATGGATCTGTTCTGGCTAAGGAAGCCTGAGTTTTCCCTGGACATAAATCTAAAACCTGGCATATCAGCTACAAATCCAGGAAGCAGCCACTAAACTCATGAAGTGCAATCCTAGTTAATTATAGCCTATGACTTTCACCTCTCCCCCTGATATTTGACTGCGCCTTGGCCTCGTTCACAGATGCAATAATCTATATTCTCATTTTCTCTTTTGTTCTTCTTCACTAATTCGCTCTCTCGCTCCAACCCTCTCAGGGCTATGAGGACTGGCTAAGACACAAGGCGGACTGCTCGATAAATGAATGTCCAGTGGACGTGGTGCAGAGGGGGAAGGTGGTGAGGACTCAGAGCCACAAGCTGCGGGTAAGGCTGGCCTCATTAGAGCACTACAGCACCTGGGGCCACAAAGCAACACTGCTAAACTCACACTCACACTCGAACCCTCACATACACAGCTCTCTGAGGCCCGCTTCAACTTTGTTTTTCTCTTTCCTGTCTTTCCGTGCTTTTCCACCAATTAATCGCCCCAGAAGTGTGGTAGAGGAAGAGAGTATCCTTGTGGGGGTTTGAGTCCCGTGGCATGTAGAGGGGCTGGTGTGTTTCATAAATGTGAATGTTCTGTCATCATCCACTCTTATGTCACTCTGATGCAACACAAATCAGAGTATGGCTATTGGCTCAGTCTAATACATGAAAATGCCCAGTGATAATCCTCTTGATTTTTATTGTAGTCATTGTTTTTATGTTGAGTGCCATGGTTCTTTGAGATGAATGGTGAATATTTATACATTTATTTCATGTGTGTGTGTCATGGTCCGTCAATCGCCACCACCCTCTGCCACCTCTTTGGCAGTATGGAGTTTCTTGTGTGGTCCAGTGTTGTATGAGACTCTGATGTAGTAGTTACTTTCTCCTCACCAGAGGCCACTGTAAATTGATCTCATTTCATGAGAATTCCATGAATGAAACTGAGTTTGTTATGGGAATGTATAATGGAAGTTTCTAACTCAGCTCTTATGCAGATGTATAGATGAGGTCCATTTTAGTTGGGTTTTGTGTTTGTGCTGTTTAATAGCTGCAGGTAAACTGGATTCTGCTGTGTCTGCTGCTTCAGTCAAATGAGCAGAGACGGTGGGGTTAGTGCAGGTTGCCGTAGCAACTTTTCCCGCTTCTTATGGATTAAAATATGTCCTGTTTTTCCAGAAATCTTGTTTCTTGTCATTTTGTGTACCAAGGTTTCTCAGTACCTGAGATCAAACGGAAGGGATTAGAGCGGATACGGTGCAGGAATAATAATGAATATATTAATCATGCAAAATCAGAGTGCGTGTCATGTGTTTGGTCACCGTGGAGATGGGATTTAACCAAGCTAAAGCTGCTCCACTCTCATAATCCGTTATGCAACTTCACAATCCTTTGAAAAAAGGGAAAATGAAAGAATGAACAGGTTTTGACTGTCTGTGTTGACTAAAATATCCACTGACGGCACTGTTCATTTATTATTGATCTTAAAGCTATTATGCTATTTTTATTTGGCTGTTGTTGCTCTTCCAGGTGGGGGATGTGGTCATGGTGAGGGAGGATGAGACGTTCCCATGTGACCTCATCCTTCTCTCCTCCAGTCACCATGACGGGACCTGCTACGTCACCACAGCCAGTCTGGATGGAGAGTCCAGTCATAAGGTGCCGTAACAAATACACTTTTATTCAAATTTTTTTCCACCACATTTGGAACATAATTTAAAACACATATACATATATAAACCTTTCAGGATCTGTTTTCCTGTCAGATTGATTTTTAAAACATTTTGAAATTCTTAAATAATGTCTGTGTCATTAAGAAGTAGAAGAAGTAATAAGTAAATATAGATGATAAACGATATTATTGAAACTAATTGACCCAAGAGCAGATTTAAACAAGAAGAAATATTCCAAATGTACAATACTGTTTAAAGAACATGAGCTGCAATAAATAAACAGCAGAATGAAACACTTTGTACTTAGCTTGCATCTGTAATGAATCATAGAAGTTATTAATTAAATCTTTTATCACTTAAGTCTTAACATATAACCAAAAAATAACCAAACATTTTCCAATAGTGCAAAGAAAAAGTACCCAAGATAAATATTGACCATATAAAAATATTGTACAAGCTTTCATATATATTGAACACTAAGTCGATATAGTAATTATCATGACAGGCCTAAATAAATCAAATTATCAAGTCATAGTAACGATGTCTTCAATAATAATTCATATAGAAGCATGTAGATTTCTTTTGTCAATGTCAGTCACTGTCACACACAGCTACACGCCTGGCTGGTCCACTCCAGACTCCTCCTTAATTGTACCCGGCTCTTTCACTCCTACCCTACTCCTTCACCCCCGCCCCCCTCCTTCACCCCTTTCTTCACCCCCTCCTTCACCCGCCAATGTGGCCATCCTCACTGCATGCCGTCTGGTGTTGACCCGGGAGGCAGCTCTCAGTCTCGCCTCCCGTCTCCTCTCAGTCATTTAGCGGAGCTGCTGGGGGCCGTTCTGAGGAGTCCGGTGAACCCTGCTCTCATTAGTGGCTGAAGTTTGACATTTTCTCTCTGTTGTCCTTTTCCTTCTCTTCCACCAGACCTATTATGCTGTACCAGATACCATGGCCTTTAGAACTGAGCAGGAGGTGGATTCTCTACATGCCACTATTGAATGTGAACAACCGCAGCCTGACCTCTACAAGTGAGTGTGACATGCTACCATTAATGCACCTTTGTACACCCATCAGACATATTACATAGCTCTTCCTCTATAGCCATTTTCCTAATTGAAGTTCGCTGTTCTTTAGATTCGTGGGACGCATCAATATCTACAAGGACAAAGAAGAGCCGGTGGCGAGGTGAGTTTTGTGCTCAGTGATTACAGTGTTGTACGGAGATAACAACTAAATTATTCTTTTAACCTTGCAGACCACTTGGAGCAGAAAATCTGCTTCTTAGAGGAGCAACACTGAAAAACACACAACATATTTATGGTAGTAATGGACTGTTTATTTCACCTTATAGTAAATTAGCCCACACAGTAATCTATAAATTCATGTTATTTATGTGTTTTACCTTCAGCTGTTGCAGTCTACACTGGTATGGAGACTAAGATGGCACTAAACTACCAGTCCAAATCTCAAAAGCGCTCAGCTGTTGAAAAGTACGATCAATTCTCTTTGTATGCAAATTAATCTTCTATTATAGTGAGCCTCTGTTTTCTTAACCTTTGCTTCTCCTCACCGCAGGTCCATGAATGCTTTCCTTATCGTATATTTGTGCATCTTAATAAGTAAAGCAGTTATCAACACAGTTTTGAAGTACGCCTGGCAGTGGTCACCTGACCGAGATGAACCCTGGTACAACCATCGGACAGAGCATGAGCGCCAGAGACATGTGGTATTTACTATATATCCTATTGTTATAATGTTCTCAGCTAACCATATTTCTAGCATAGTCTTTTCTCATGGCAACTTTATCTTCCTTTTATACTTCATCCGTCAATTCTTCCTTCAGGCCCCCAATCTGCAGCTCTAACTTCTTTATCCTGCCTTGTTGGTATAGTCATTTTTCCATTTGAGACTTTTTAGTCTGTTCTCTCTGACTTTGTTGCTGAAACAAAAAAAAATCCATATTCCAAATCTCGGATTTGTCCTCGTAAAGTTGTGGGACTTTATTCTTGTAAATGAGTATATTTTGTCCTACCACCACCCAAAAAAATCCCAAAATGAATCAGACTGCTCACTGTTTCTGCATCTGTAGCTGTTTTGTGTAGGGACAAGATTTGAGAATTAGCACTGTATGCATTGTGTCAGTTGCATGCTCTGCCTTTGACTGTGTATGCTTTGTCTTTGACTGTGTATGACTGCATTGTCGGTGTCTAATTGAAGAATTAATTGAAGTATTTGATCAATAGCAAAACCCATTAAAAAGCAGTCTAAAAACATCTTAAGATTTACACGTGCCTAAAATTCCTTCATTTGAATAGTAGCAATGTGCCTGGGGATTTTGAGAGCTAGGAACTAGTTAAAATGTACTCCCTCTTCATGGTTTGAAAATAAAGGGTAAAAAAGAAGATATAAAGAAGGGTAAAGAAGCTTTAATGCTATGTCTGGTTCTTGCTCTAGTCATTTCCATGTCACTACAATAAGTTCTATTGATTGTAACTGAAACACCTGACAAACTTTCGACTAATTTAACCCAGAACAAACCAAAAACACATTTTTCTTATTTTCTCAGGTTATTCGAGCATTCACAGACTTCCTGGCCTTCATGGTGCTGTTTAACTACATCATCCCCGTGTCCATGTACGTGACTGTAGAGATGCAGAAGTTCCTCGGCTCCTATTTCATAACATGGGACGAAGATATGTTTGATGAGGAGCTGGGAGAGGGAGCACAGGTCAACACTTCAGATTTGAATGAAGAACTTGGGCAGGTGTGTAAAATGCAGTATACCAAGCTTTCTTTTGATTGAACTATCCATGTGTAAATATGTGTCTCTGCCTCCCAGGTGGAGTATGTGTTCACTGATAAGACAGGCACCCTGACAGAAAACAACATGGAGTTTATCGAGTGCTGTGTGGATGGGAACGTCTACATTCCACATGCCATCTGTAACGGCCAAATCCTCAGCGCTGCCTCCAGTATAGACATGATTGATTCTTCTCCTGGAGGATACCGCAGAGTAAGCATAGATATGTTTTCCTAAATAAAACATTCCCAAAGCCATTTTTATTTAATTAGCCAAGATACAAACAAAGATGTCAGTCATTTTTTCCATTGTTAATTAAAGTTTTTACACAGATTGATGCCTTCGGGTTAAAACAAAGTTTGTGTTCTGTTAAACGAATAGATTTTGTTTCTTAGACTGTGCACAGAAATGATTTTTCTGGTGCACAGAAGTGATGAGCACTGGTTTTGTTCGAGAATAGCAGTCATTTATTTAGATTTAATAAAAGGAAAGTGCAGTGAAAGCATAAAGCCATGGGTCCAACTATGATGAACAGAAAGAAAGGTCTGCAAACACAGTAATAGATGTATATACATGAAACAGTGTTGTCACATACAGCTCTGTTAATGCCCACCATAAAATATGAAAGATGAACAAAAAGATTTGCCCATACACAGTTTCATAAAGAATTACATGTTTGGCTTTGTGTGCAGGAACATGAGGATTTGTTTTTCCGGGCGCTGTGCCTGTGCCACACAGTTCAAGTCAAAGAGGAAGAGACAGTGGATGGCATCAAGAGGGGCATCCACCAGGGCAGACCCACCTCCTTCTACATCTCCTCCTCACCTGATGAAGTCGCTCTAGTGGAGGGAATGAAAAGGTGCACATATTGCTTTTAGACTGTTAAACATTATTTTACTCAGAAAGGTTTTTAGGGCTATAAGCCTTTAATTTAGTTGATTAATCTTCCGTTGTTTATTGAAAATTATGAGGATGTATGTGGACCACAGTAAAAAGGAGAAAGAATGGAGTGAGTTAACTGGAGTTTTAGGGGTGACTGAAGAGATTAATATGACTTACTTATGAAGATGCTGAATACTACTACTGTATAGTCCCCTTTTATTTGACTAATCAAGGCGCAGGGCATGTCTTGAGTTGATTGAGATTTTCTTTATACAGCCCTAATATACTAGTTTGAGTTTCTCCTTTTTGCCTGAGTAAAATAATCCTATGTCTAATAATAATACTATAATTAGTTGAGCCTAATGTGGATTTCTTTTTTGTCCTTGCCAGGCTGGGCTACACCTATTTGCGCCTGAGAGACAACCACATGGAGATACTCAACAAAGACGATGAGATTGAACGGTTGGTCCTCTAAGTGTTTCCTACGGTTACAGCCCTGTGGATAAAAAGCAAGTCATTTGGATTATGGAGTTGTGGTCACATGCTGTCAGCCTGAAGAGAAGCTGATCAGATCATGTTACACAAAATGCAACCACAAGAAAGTTTAAAAGATTTGAAAAGTCAATGGTGCTTCATTATATTATTGCGGCTTTAGTTTCTTCTGGAGCAAGTGTCCATATAACAAGGTTTTCCTCTGCATCCTTCTCAGCAGTTTCCTGTCAATAGTGAGCTATTTAAAGACACGGTGAAGGTGGGAAGAGGGGGTGGTTCGTTCAGCATAACTGAAGATTTAGATGTAATGGGAGCAGAACTATCAGCATACTGGTCTCTTGTTAGGAATGCATAAACATCCATAAAATTTAAGATGCACTGTGTAACTTTTCTTGCTGAGGGCCTGCATAATAGGTATTTTCTTGATTTGCCTGAATGTTCCACAGCATTTAACTTTTCTATTTCCATGGAAACAAGAATGCCACTGGGTCAAGTTATGGGTCAGCTCTGTGAAGAGGCTAGCGCGCCCTTTTCAATGTCTTTTTGAGCAATAAAAACACATGTAATTGATAAATATTTGATAGATAGTTTTAATGTCACAGTGTGGAACATTCCTGGCACAGTAATAACATGCGGTAGTGTAACCTCAAGCAGAAAAGTTGCGCAGTGCACCAAGAATACATACTACCGCATCTTAACTTGTGAATAATAACCACCACAAGACTCAAATGATTATATTTCTATTGTTTTGCAGATTTGAGCTGTTACACGTACTGAACTTTGACTCTGTAAGAAGAAGAATGAGTGTTATAGTCAGATCAAGCTCAGGTGGGATATATATAAACCTATTATTAGCCCTGCAGCCAATCTTAGTTTGTCTAAATAATGACTATTTGTGCTTCAGGAGAAGTCTTGCTGTTCTGTAAAGGAGCAGACTCATCCATATTTCCGCGGGTGGTGTCTGGGAAAGTGGAGCAGGTTAAAGCCCATGTGGAGCAGAACGCTGTGGCAAGTTCACTGTCTTTTATAAATGCACTCAATTACACTATATTTAATTTGGAAGACTCAATACTAGGACTGTAGGTCTTTAGTCATTTAGTCAGTTAATCAGTGGATGGAGTCTTAGTCATTTTGTTTATATGGGACAATGGCAGAAAAGAGAAGTTAGTTTTGTTTTGTTTTTTTATATTTATATGTTAAAAGGAAAATTAAACTCATGATTTTTTTAACTCTTGCATTTCCTAGTACTTTTTTCCCCATGCAGTTCTAGTCTTGCAGTTTTGGTCTTGGTTTTGGTAGTTTAAAGAACTTTTGACATGCTGCCTTTTTAGTCAACTAATCGATCAGCAAGACATGTCTTTAGTCAACCAAGAATTCTGCATTCGACTGCTACTCTACTCAGTACATAATGTTCTCAATGCTCAGTTTAAAATCTGTTTGTTCTAATTTAATTCATTTTGGATATTGATGTTTGTTCTGAAATGATAATATTATTGAAATGTTATGTAAAACTGTTACAGCCGATGATCCTCAGATTCTTCACATATGTGCAGGTTTAGCAAGAAGGGCAAAATAATGTTGCAAAATCTTAAAAGGAGAGAGAAAATTCGAAAGTTATTTCAAAATCCATTGTTGTATGTCTTACAAATACAGCCAAAACCCACTGATTTACTGTCACATGTCACTAAGTATTATTGATTATGCGAGTTCTCTTGGGCATGTTAACGCACAGCAATAATGACATATTATGTGTGGATTATTTGATTATTCTAGTTATCAGATTTGTTTCTGGCTATGTAAATGTACCTACTCATGTCTCTCTTTTCTTTTGTCAGGAGGGGCTGAGGACACTGTGTGTTGCCTATAAGAGCCTGTCTGACGCTGAGTACCAGGAGGCGTGTCTCCATCTGACAGAAGCCAAGCTTGCCCTGCAGGACAGGGAGCAGAGGCTGGCACACGCCTATGACATCATCGAGAGGGACCTGGTACTTTTGGGTGCTACAGCGGTGGAGGACAGGTCAGTCAAACACATCAGTGACTTGATGGAAATAGGGCAGCATTGGTTCTTACAGAAACAAATCACTGTATTTCAAGTACTGTCAACAAAACCTTTAGGTGACTTTGAGCCCTGTAATAAAAGCAGTAATAAAACAAGGCTCTGAGGTGGTGTAAGTGCTTTCCCTAACCAGTGGAGCTGTCTGATTGAAAACATGGCAGGGGTTAGTGCTCCGGGGTGGTCAGGCATTGATGAATTGTCTCCAAAGGGTAATTGATTGATTGAAGTTTTGATGGATGCTCTAACCTAGCATACTGGAGGCTGAAATCTTTATTGACTTATTGATGCCCAGGCTCCAGGAGAAAGCTGCAGACACCATTGAATCACTGCACAAGGCTGGAATGAAAGTTTGGGTCCTGACGGGGGACAAGATGGAGACGGCAGCGGCTACCTGCTACGCTAGCAAGCTTTTCCGTCGCAGCACCCAAATCCTGGAGCTGACTAAGAAACGCACAGAGGAGCAGAGTCTGCATGATGTTCTTTTTGAACTCAACAGAACGGTCCTGAGACAGCGCTCAATTTCTGGGTAGGTTTGAATGCTCTTTTATACTTGAATTATAAATTAAACAAAATTAAACTTAACATGTGCATTGCCTCATGCTGTGTTTTGCTGCAGCCTGTCAGTGGACTGCCTGGACTTCGGCCTGATCATAGATGGGGCCACACTCTCTGCAGTACTGAAGCCCAGCCAGGAGGGCACTGGTTCTGGGAACTACAGAGAGATCTTTCTCGAGATCTGTCGAAACTGCAGTGCTGTCCTTTGCTGTCGCATGGCCCCATTGCAGAAAGCTCAGGTGAAAAACTGCTCACTGCTCAAATCTTCACATGCTTAAACATGTTGTATATTGATCTAAGAACCATTATGTTGCACAGATTGTGAAACTAATAAAAGCTTCTAAAGAGCACCCTATAACTCTTGCCATTGGTGATGGTGCCAATGATGTCAGCATGATCCTGGAGGCACATGTGGGCATTGGTATGTTAAAATACATGTTAAATTACTTTAACATGTTTGTTTTTTGACCAGTACCTGAAAATACATCTATAAACACTTTTTCTCTCTTCTTTCTTTCTTCCTTCAAGGAATCATGGGTAAAGAAGGCCGACAGGCAGCAAGAAACAGTGACTATGCCATCCCAAAGTTTAAGCACCTAAAGAAGATACTCCTTGTACATGGGCACTACTACTACATTCGAATAGCTGAACTTGTTCAGTACTTCTTCTACAAGGTATAAGACCAAATAGATAGTGTTATCCATAGCTCATGTGTTTTAATCACTGCATTGTAAACCCTGGGGAACACCGTGTTACACAGAATCGGATTTGAGCGCCCCTGTGACAGATTACGGGATTCATGAATCCCCAGTGCAACATTCACTCCTGGATTTGTGGCTTCAGTGATTGGTGTGGGCGTCTTTCACACAGGCACTGCCCTGCCAACTGATTCATTTTTACAGACCCCTTCTTAACGGCCCACTCAGCAAGCTTAGCTTATAGCGCACAATCTGGCATCCAATCACAACATAAACAGAAATGTGTAGACTTTTACATAACAAATCTGTTCTTACTATTTTAAATAAACTTAAATTGCTTTCTTTCCAGAATGTATGCTTCATATTCCCACAGTTCCTGTATCAGTTTTTCTGTGGGTTTTCTCAACAAGTAAGTTGTTACTGTACTATCATAATACACAATGCTTGATAATCTTCCTGTATTGAGAATTGGTTGTGTGTTTTGTCCATAGCCTCTTTATGACACAGCGTACCTAACACTGTATAACATCAGCTTCACCTCGCTGCCCATCCTCCTGTACAGTTTAGTGGAGCAGCATGTGTCTGTAGACACACTGAAGAAGGAGCCTTCATTGTACAGGTGAAAAACCTGTCCCCTTGTCAAAACTCCCATAATATTATCATACCTAACTCAATGTTTCTGTGCCCTAACTAGGGATATTGCTAAGAATTCACTCCTCCGCTGGCCGGTGTTCCTCTACTGGACGTGTCTGGGAGTGTTTGACGCAGTTATCTTCTTCTTTGGTGCCTATTTTCTGTTTGACAACACCACATTCACCAGCAATGGCCAGGTACAAGTTATAGCAGTTTTCCTGTATTTTATACATTCATCAGTGTCTGTGAGGTTGAAAAGAACACAAAACATAACTATTTTGTAAGGAAACCTCATTTCCATTTCCATTAGTGGTAAACATGGAAGATTTGTGGAGATGCTGTGCTGCCAATTTTTAACAGTTGAGATTTTGTTCTGCAGCACTCCTAATGGCCAACAACATGCAGTAGGATGCCATTCATATCGACAACGCAATAGCATCTTTCTCTGTATTGTTAATTTGTACCATGTCAACAGTTTGGATGGCCTTTGGTCCTGTTTTTTAAGTTAAAACATCCTGATATTCATTTTTTGCCCTTTGTCCTGATTCTTTTCTCTTCTCTCCCCCTTCTCTCTCTGCTTCCTCTCTCTTTATTTTGCTCCCTCTCTGTAGCTTATGACCACCAACACGCAGATGGTAAGCCTGTCTCCCTCCCTGTCAGCTCTGTCTTTTACGCCTCTTTTTTGTTCTGCTGCACCGTTTAAGCTTTTCATTTGACCATTTCATCCTCACCCATCTCTCTCTCACCACCACTCATGCACTGTCATTCCAGTGAAGTTTCCTCTCATGACATTATTCCTCCTAATCTCTGTAAAGCCCTGAATCCTGCACTGGCACCTGATCCGTACTACATAGTAGAAACCTTAGATCCTCCCTCACATTATCCTTCTGTTTTGTTGTGCTAGAAAAAGAAATACTAGTATGAGCATTATAGATCTGTATTCAACATCTGTTTGTTTTTCTGTCTGTGTGTGTTTGTGGATTAATGTATTCATCTGTATGTGTATGTACATGCACATATGCATTCAGAGAGCCTCTAACTTACTAACTAAAACTAAAACATGGATTGATAATGTTGGCAGATATGACCTTTATATACAGTATTACACCTAAAGTGGTTTGTAAGTTTTGCCTAAAGAAATTGATTAAGAACATACATTGGAATCATCATTAACAATGTAAAAATTGTAGTTGTAATTAGGGCTGGGCGATATGGCAAAAATACAGTTTCAATATTCAGAATATTGGTCAGTCTTGCTCAATATCAATATAATTTTGTCTTTTCAAAACTAAAATAAAAATGTGTTTGAATATTAATATCATAAACACAAACATTTAATCTATTTCTGTTTAAATGAGTCACTAAATCAACCCAAAGAAAAGCTACACTGTACATACAGCATCACATTTAGGGCTAGAGAGCCTACATATAAAATATCTTACTCAAGTAACTAAGAATATTTTTCTATATTTTGGTTTCCTTTACAGATGTTTGGCAACTGGACATTTGGGACTCTAGTCTTCACTGTGCTTGTGTTCACCGTGACACTAAAGGTATGTGAAATATAATAATATAATAATGCTTCAGTCTTATTTGGTGTTTTGCATTATTCATTCCCCGTCCGCATCTTTGAAAAGGAGATTTTAATTGACTCTTCACATCACTCCATTTGTGTATGTGGAGAGCATAGGTGTAAGCTTGTTGCACATGTTAACCAGGCTGTTACATAAATGATCGACTGCACTTGTGACTGGGTTTGCACAACACTAAAAGCCCAGAGGCACTGGCATTGACTTTATTGACCTGTGCGAGTGTTTACTATGTATATATTCTCTGTGTTTTAGCTTGCCTTGGATACACACCACTGGACCTGGATCAATCACTTTGTCATCTGGGGGTCATTACTGTTTTACGTCATCTTCTCGCTTCTCTGGGGAGGCATTATTTGGTATAACTTATAACTTTACTATAGTCTCACATAGTCAGCACATTTCAGAAGGGATGTAGCTATAACCTAAATAGTTTACTAATGTATTGTCAAAAGCCTCACATTAATATTGTGGGCATTCACAATATATTAAATATTTGTTTAAATGCATTTTTTCTGGCAACAACTATAAAACAGAGGGATTTTAGTGCAGACAATATGAAAAAATAAAGGGCCCATATTTCACTATTTTCTGATCTAAGTTAAAATGGTGTGTCCTCCTCAAAAACCTACTCAGACTGGTGTTTTCTTTCATTCACACGTTTAATAACACACAAATTCTCCATATTTAGGCTGAGTTTTTCTCTCAAACTAAACACAACTTCGGGTATGTTTTTGAAGAGTTAACAACATGTACAATTATAACATGGCTTAAAGCTCACAAGAGCCAAGTTGTGTAATATAGGACCTTGAAGCACTATCTTAATTCTCTGAAATATGGCAATAATAGCACTAAATCTGTTCTCTGAATTACTGCATAAATATCATACTGTGAGCTGCATATTATGATAATACCGTACCCTGAGATTTGGTCAAAGTTGCATTGTATATACTCCATTCTGTATGTATCACACTTGCTGCTCCTTACACTTTTGATTAGATGCTAAACCACCTTTCATTACCTTGTATTTATACATGTGTAATGAATTGAATTTAATCTAATCTATAGTTACATCCCTTTAATTCTGCTATTTAGATCCAAACTGACCCTCTCTTTTTCCTTTTCCAGGCCGTTCCTCAACTACCAGAGGATGTACTATGTTTTCATGCAGATGCTCTCCAGTGGTCCAGCCTGGCTCAGCATCATCCTGCTCATTACAGTCAGCCTTCTGCCAGATGTCATCAAGAAGGTCCTGTGCAGGGCTGTCTGTCCCACTGCGACTGAGCGCGCACAGGTACCATCTTTGTGCTTTTCAAATCTACACAGGCTAGAGAAACACAATGTTGTGAACCCACTTATTTTAGATCTTTATAGATGTATAGGCCTGTCACGATAACAAATGTTGAAGCACACTGTATTGCTAGAGAGAAAAAAACGATAATGTTGAAAATATTTGCCAATGTCAAAAAGCAGAATAATCCCAGTAATCCCATTTTTAAAAGAGACAGTATCATTAAAAAGTCTGAGCTGCAATCAATAAATGTCAGAATTGATAATTAGCCATAGTTATTTATTGTACTCTCTGCAGTTAAAATGTTCAGTTATTAAATGGCAATGGCTCCCCACTATTGCAAAGAAAAAGTACCCACCGTAAATATTGAGCCCCAAAATTGTTTCAGCTACCATATATTGAACGATAAGTCTATTTCAATTATTGGCCTATAGATGTAGATACATACAGTAACAACACTTTTTTTTTTTGATGCTTATGATAATAGCATAGTGTATTTTGAGCAATATTAATTTTGGTTATAATGAATATTGTGATGTCAAATGCTTTTTCAGTCACTAATATATTCACTAATATAATGGATTTCCTGTATTTTGAGACTTGTTAAACAAAAAACACAAAACTTACATAATATTAAGACATACCACTATTCCACTTTTGATAACTGTCTGCCTATGGAAAATATCTTTGAGCATTATTTAGTTTGACCTTTGCCTCTTATGGCTTGACTCCAGCTCAGTAGAAAATGACAGATTCTTCCTGCTGTGCTTTTTCTTCTTTTTCTCTCCTCTGTGCTTCCTAACGGACCCCTATTATCCAAATTCACGCCATCTTCCCTTTCTTCTCTCACCTTTTTCTTTAACCTGACCCCCTTTTAAACGCCTGTCATCACCACTTCCGTCTCCTTTCTTTTCATCTCTGTCATTATCCCCAAATCCTCCTTTTGCCCTTTGCTGCCTGTGTGGTGGTGCCCGCAGTCCACTCGCCCGTGCCTTACTGTGGAGCCCTCCACCATCTTCATGCTCTCTCAGTCATCCAGCAGAATGAGTTTCTGATTGGTTCACACAGACGGCAGGAGCAGGAAGAGGAGGTGACTCTCTCTTTAAGCCCTCGCCACCTCTGCATGTTCAGTGGCATTGTGTAAATCAGTATAATAACATTTTAACATTAACTAACCTGTGGCGTCATGTTTGTCCTGTAAACTATTGGTATCCTTCTACTGTTCATCCAAACCTATATGTGGTGTTTCATTTTCTATGTATCATCTAAATGTGTAAATTGATTTTCATCTTTTAAATGATATGGTAAGTCCAGTTCTGTTAAATCTGAAGGGAATTTAAAGGTGCTCTATATAATTTGGGTAGAGGGTCCTTAACCATGGAGATGTTTTGCCTGGAATTATTTACATTATGATTTTAAAGTTGTCTATTTCCATGGAGACAAGCGGCATGCCGAGTTACAGGTCTGATTTGTGGAGAGGTGGGCCCTCTTACAGTAGAATACATATGCTAGAATTACATAATAATACAGTGTAATGCCATACTGTGGTACATTACAGGGAAAACACTCTCTCTAGCATATCTCCATGGATACAACCAAGTGCTGGACTCTTACCAGAAAAGTTACATAGTGCACCTTTTGTACTATATACAGGTAATTACACTAGTTATATAAAGTACAGTAAAGCTCCTAGAAATGGTTTTATTTGTTCATGGCATTCCAAGTAATCTTCAACACATTTAGATACATAAAACAACATAAAAATAAATATTGACAGAGTCTAGTGAATATAGTTCATAATAATGTTACCTGTACAATTATCCACAGAGGGTAATGACACAGGGGGTCCTGGATGAGTTTGGGGCAGGAGCTACTGAGAGAGACCTGCTGACTGTTAATAGGACCGGCGAAGAGGACAGTGGAGGCAAAGCTGCTAAAACCTATGACTCCATGATGTCACATGACCACAGCACCCCCAAAACCTCAGCAAATCGTAGACCTGCTCCGTAGCTGAGCTGAGGTCACCATGGTAACAGCAGTGGGAGTGCTGGATGTATTGGGCATGCTCTTGGGCTGAGGCTGAGCTTTGGGGAGATTTTTTAAGATACTTTCTCTTGACTGCTTAATGCATGCTTGAACGTTTCCTGTTTCTATTACTGGAATTTATAGGAATTTGAAAAAAATTTTTATAAACAAGACTAATAGGCCCTTGGCATGTATAACCCTGTACCCCCTGTGCAAAGATAACCGTTTAAAGGGCATCCAGAAAAGCTCTGCTTTTCAAAATGAAAATACTTGTGTGTTGTTATTATACAACTTAACCGCAAAATCGCAACACTCATGCACTTATGCCATCTAGTGTTTGCAGGTGAAATAACATGCTTTTGCTTCACTCATTTCATGTGCATGTCTAACATTAACCAAAAGTACAATTAATGTGTGGATATTTAAAAATATTTAGAGGGCTTGTTTTGACTATTTTTATGTAATTACAGTTTTTAATATGTTGGCTGGATAATATGCAAATGGCTTGATACAGCATAAAAACAAACCTTCTGAATATTATCTTGACGGGCAAAGGGCATGCAGCAATGGGTATGCAGACATCGTGTAGTTTCACTCTTAAGCATTTTTTCTTTGTTTTTAGGGAAACGAGAAGACGGTGCGGGGTGTTGTGGCTGAGTTGACTCCACTGTCGTCAGCGCGATCCTACAGAAGCACGAGTGCCAACTCCTCCCACCTGCACCTGAGCACAGCCGAGGCCCTGTCACTGCGCCTGTCGGACCCCCTTCCCCAAAAAATACTGACTCACCTGACAGAGAGGGGAGGGGCAGACGTGTACACCCTCAGCCCCTATTTGCTCCGTCTGTCCGGGGCGGGATTTGCCCACTACGCCCCAGGTCCAGAGACAACTGTATGAAGCAGAAACTAATTCATTTTGTGGCTTCGTACAATGTGCGACTACGTTTCTCGTCTCATGGACAAGAGAACGTTCACGTCTTTCATGTTCAATTCACCTGTGTATTTTTGGGCTACATACCCACATACTTTGGTGATTTATTTTTCTTTCTGATGTCTGTTTTCATCAAATCTTTTACACAAATGTGGGAATTGCATATAAACCTCTGGGATAAGGAGGAACTATATGCACTTTCTTGCATAACTGAGCACTCCTGTTACACATGTCAAATAATGGACTTTTGGTATATATTTTTTCAGTCATGACATTGCCTGTTCCTTCACCCCTTTGTAATCATCTAAATGTACCAACATGGTCTGGCCAAGTTAAGGGCAGTCCTTAAGTTTCAGCCCTTTAGGAGTGCTTGCGATTGTGTGCATGTGTGTGCGTGTGAACGGATGCTTGCATGCATGACTTCTGCCTGTCCAGTGTGCGTTTGTTTGTGACACACCTTTGCCTTACAGGTACCACGCAGCAGCAGCAGGCTAGGAGCCAAAGGAGAAGGGCGTAAATGTGGAAACATACAAAGCCTTAGACACAAACACACTTTTCAGCTGGAGAAGGAAATGGGGTGTTTTCTAGAGGGATGTGCAGTATTCTAGCCACCCTGCCTTAATTCATTCATACATATAGTAGTTAAAGCTGTTTATACCTCCTAAATATGGTTCAGATATACCTTCCACTTCTATTTGGTACTGTGTGTCAATTTCCATCTAGTTTATTGTGATTACTTGTTTGCTAATCAGCCAGTGTAGCATGCTAAATCTTGGCTGCATGTTATAGTTAATCCACTCTTCACTCAAATATTCCCCTTCCCATTTCATTTCAACCATATCCATGCTGTACCCACTCCTGCCATCACGTGGTCATGTTGAGCAACTGCAGCTTTGTGAATAACAAAGTGGAGGTTTCCCAAATGGTGCTCTACCATTGGGGCTCTTTGTTATGGATGTCCTAAATGGCTTGCTCTTCTCCCTGTGGCATTGTTTGCGTGTGTGTTTGCAGCCACGCTTTTTCTAGGTTATGCAAATGTCTGTGGGAATGCTATTGTCATATTTGTCATAATAAGGTCCCCCCTCTGTTGTGTTTTCAAATGAGTTGTCTTGTACTATTTATCAATGGCAGTCACTGTTGATGTTTGGATGTAACTTAATTTTTATATAATATATTTTGGTGAAAAGGGGTGTGGTTGTTGGTGGTAAGACAGAGACTTGAAAAGGCGATGTCACAATCAAATCGACTGAATGTTGAACTGTCCATTGTGTCCGTCACTTGAAGAATGTAGCTTAAAATGGATACACCTTTTATAATTACAGTTTTATTTGTCCAAAGCATATCTTTCATAACACAACTACTGATGTATTTTTGAATGTCTAACTGAAGGATTTTTGCATGTACATTTGCTTTTGTTCATTGTGCAGTATGTTTTTATAGGGCACAGTTATATTATTTTATCAGTGAAAACAGTTCTGGGTTTAATGTAAAAAGTTTCTTTGTTTCATTTGGGATCAAATTCTCGAACCTCCATAGGCTAACAGAAAAGCCTAAGTGTTTGCAATGTCACTGTGCTGTTGCCATAACAATAATTTATTCAGTTAAAAATTTTGGTAGTATCCCATGCAGATTTTTTTCCACATCTTGATTTTGTGTTATTGTGTTATTTTAATGTGAATATTTAATTTTGCTATTTTTGTATAGAGAAAAAGTCTATATTTTAACTGTGTTGGAATGTGTTTAACCAAAATAAGAGCTTATTTGTTGATAGAAATTTATCACTAGATTACACACACTGCACTTTTACAACAAATTGGTTTCTCCCCTTTTTTGTTTTTAAATATTCACTCTTCCTCACAATTTATTTATTTTTAAAGATTAATAGTAGGTGAGAAAAAGTGACCAAATTACTTTGTTGGATTGAACTGTTACTGAGTGTCAGCCTCTGTGGTTTCTATTGCACCAGCCTTTTCTGCTAAAGAGAATGTCACACTGCTTTTCTAAGTCCTTTGGCACAACAGCAGGTGCTCATCCTGTCAATGCTGAGCTTGGCAAAAGATGGAAATGTCAAGATCTCTGTCATATCATACCCCTTCAGTACAGCAGTGTCTGTATTTACTAAACAGGAGATTTTCTTCTTTTCGATAAAGATTTTAAAAGAGGTTTATTTGTTGACCTTTGTCAGCCTGTCTGTAGCAAATAAGGGCAAAGCACTGTATTGTCATTCTGCTTGTAATAAAGAAAGACTAAACATGATTAGGTCTCTGGTTCTTCTGGTTTAAGCCTACTTAACCCTATAATTTTAAAGGGTCCATAGTGCTCTATTTTCTGATCTATGTTATAATTGTTATAATAGTTATATAGTTGTTTCCCCATCAAAGACATACCCGGAGTTGTGTTTTGTTTCATTCACACGTTTAGCACAGGAAATGCTCCATTGTGTTTTGAAACTCCATACACCTTCACTTGAATTTGGATAATTTCAAACCTGAAATTGTCCATCAAAAGGTAAAAACTACAAGCTTCATGACATGGCAAGGTGGAACAGAGCATTTGGAATTTTGGAGATGTAGATAGACCAATAATTAAGGATTCCATGTGTGAATGAAACAAAGAACAACATTCTAACATGTCTAAAAACTCAGAATAATCAATTTTGTGGAATATAGGACCTTTAACATAAGTCTATATTTCAGTGTTTTCAGGGTTTAAACAAATGCTACAAAAGAAGATAAAAACAAAGTGAGGACCCCTGTGGAGAAACATTGATCACAGGGCTGGATGACATCTGCCACCACCCCGCGGAGACATTATCATTTGTGAGACGCGCTTTAGTCAGGTAAGTGGAGGCTATGTCCAAGAAGCCACTGCACCACTGAGCAGACAGTCAAAACCACAGGACGTGCTAGTCAGCGAGCTAATGCTGGAGTCACAATATGGACATTTAATAACAGGTTTGTCGAACAATCCGTGTAGTATTCGTTCATTCGTTTTTCAAAGTAAAACCAAAAAGAAGAAAACGAAAAAACTAAATTTTTCTTCATTATTTGTCTCCAAAATCAAAATGAAAAAGCGGATAACGATTCATTTTTTCAGTTTCCGTGACTTAAACTGCGATGCCGGACTGAACCCGGACTACACCAGAACTACACCAGGACTACAACAGGACTACACCAGGACTAAACCCGGACTACACCAGAACTACACCAGGACTACACCAGGACTACAACAGGACTACACCAGGACTACACCAGGACTACACCAGAACTGAACCCGGACTACACCAGACTACACCAGGACTACAACACCAGGACTACACCAGGACTACACCAGGACTACACCAGGACTACAACAGGACTACACAGGAACTACACCAGGACTACAACAGGACTTCACCAGAACTACAACAGGACTTCACCAGAACTACACCAGGACTACAACAGGACTACACCAGAACTACACCAGGACTACACCAGCACTAAACCAGGACTGAACCAGGACTACGCCAGGACTAAACCAGGACTAAACCAGGACTGAACCAGGACTACACCAGACTACAACACAGGACTGAACCAGGACTACGCCAGGACTAAACCAGGACTAAACCAGGACTGAACCAGGACTACACCAGAACTACAACAGGACTTCACCAGAACTACACCAGGACTACAACAGGACTACACCAGGACTACAACAGGACTTCACCAGAACTACAACAGGACTTCACCAGAACTACACCAGGACTACAACAGGACTTCACCAGAACTACACCAGGACTACACCAGCACTAAACCAGGACTGAACCAGGACTACGCCAGGACTAAACCAGGACTAAACCAGGACTGAACCAGGACTACACCAGAACAACACCAGGACTGAACCAGGACTACACCAGGACTAAACCAGGACCACACCAGGACTAAACCAGGACTACAACAGGACTACAACAGGACTACACCAGGACTACACCAGGACTAAACCAGGACTAAACCAAGACTGAACCAGGACTACAACAGGACTACACCAGGACTACAACAGCACTACAACAGGACTACACCAGGACTACACCAGAACTACACCGGGACTAAACCATGACTGAACCAGGACTACACCAGGACTGAACCAGGACTACACCAGGACTAAACCACAACTGAACCAGGACTACACCAGGACTGAACCAGGACTACACCAGGATTGAACCATGACTACACCAGGACTAAACCACGACTGAACCAGGACTACACCAGGACTGAACCAGGACTACACCAGGACTAAACCACGACTGAACCAGGATTACAACAGGACTACACCAGGACTGAACCAGGACTATACCAGGACTACACCAGGACTACACCAGAACTAAACAAGGACTGAACCAGGACTATAACAGGACTACACCAGGACTAAACCACGACTGAACCAGGACTACAACAGGAATAAACCAGGACTACAACAGAACTACAACAGGACTGAACCAGGACTATACCAGGACTAAACCACGACTGAACCAGGACTGAAACCGGGACTACACTGGAACTACACCGGGACTAAACCAGGACTACACCATGACTAAACCAGGACTACACCAGGACTACAACAGGACTAAACCAGGACTACACCATGACTAAACCAGGACTACACCAGGACTACAACAGGACTAAACCAGGACTACACCAGGACTAAACCAGGACTACACCAGGACTACACCGGGACTGAACCAGGACTACACCAAGACTACAACAGGACTACAACAGGACTAAACCAGGACTAAACCAGGACTGAACCAGGATTGAACCAGGACTAAATCAGGACAGAGGTGCGCCCACGTAGACTGTCGGGTGATCAGAACTGAGACCGGGACCAGTCCGGGACAAGACCGGGACTGAGACCAGGACTGAGACCTGTTTAGTCCTGGTTCAGTCCATATACGGTGCGATAGTCCGGCATCACAGTTAAAGTTAAGGAAATGAAAATGGCCATTATGTGTTTTTCCATTATTTATTTAAACACAAAATCGAAAGCTGAAAAAAAAATCGTTATCCATTTTTTCATTTTGGTTTTGGAGACAAATAATGAAGAAAATAGTTGTTGTTTTTTTCGTTTTCTTATATTTGGTTTTATTTTGAAAAACGAATGACGAAAGATGCACGGATTACAATGTTTTTTTCAGTCTAACACGTGGTCGCGGTAAATCAATGGCCAGCATTTTGTTAGTTTGGGATAATCTGACTGTACCCATATTTAAAGGTGTTATATTTCCTCTTGTGAGCTTTAAACCATGTTATAATGCTGTTTCCTCATCAAAAACATACCTGGAGTTGCGTTTTGTTTCATTCACACATGTTTGAATTTCTTTTTACCTTATGTTCAGTAGAGATTGGCCATTCCACGTTTAAAATTACCCAGAACTCGAGAACTCGAGCCTAAATATGCAGGGTTTGTGTGTTTAACGTGAATGAAACAAAACACAACTTTAGGTATGTTTGTCATGAGGAAACAACATTATAACGTAGATAAGAAAATAGTGTAATATGGGTCCTGAAAGTTTAAACAGATTTCAAATGTTGGAGTTTGGGGTTTTGACTTTCCTCAAATACACCTAGCATGTGTGGTAGTTTCATCAAGTATAGACTATTCTTCAAATACGCATTCCTCTTCATCTTATTGAGGTTTGGTGATCAAATTACCACGCACTGATTGATTCTTAGCCATTGTATAATTATCTCTTGCATTATAAATACTTTTCATTTTAGCAGGACGTGTTATCAATGCTATACCTTTTCTGTCCACTGGATGTCACTAGAGCATTTATTATTTGAGACAGGACTGCAGGGCTGACCTTCATTTCCCCTCCCCTCTCTGTGAGCCAGGACTGCAGCATCATCATCATCAGCACCACCAGAGCTGAGCGGGCTGAGGCAGGGGCATGCATGTGTGAATAAGCCTGCTTCCTGCTCCACTTCCTCCTCCATCGTCGGCGTCTCCATCTCCCCTCCCTCCGCCTTCCCTCCATCAAGCCTCCTGCTATTTCACCAGCACTAGTCTCTGCAGCATCCTCCAAAGCACCTATAGCTCATCAAGCCGTGCAGAGCTGTCACACACGCCCCCTCTCCTGCAAGATTCCTTTAGCCACATCCACACATCTACTGCCCCTTGTTGCACTGCTCCGTCTTCTCCTGTCTTCCTAAGGGCATCCAAGGATCAAGCAGGCAAGCTGTCTCTTCTTCCTGGGAAAGCGTTTGTCGCCTGGACAGCTGGACTGCCGCTGTCCCTCTGGAGGATGATCCTGTGGATGAAGACACAGGACATGGCATTAGGGGAGCTGCTGGAAAGACTGAAGACCGTCATCAAAACCATAGGTAGGTGTCAACATGTAGCAAACAGATCTTTGTGTGCGTTTTGTCCTCAGTTTAGAGCTGTGTTTTAGGCTTTTGGTTTTGACTGTGTTGTATTATTACCATGAGCAAGCCTATAATGCTTATGAATCGCTTACTGAAGATGAGATACTGGCCTGTATTATTTGATTCTCTGCTCCACCCACAGCTTGAATTTTCATTGCATGGTGCTTCGAGGAGACACATTGACCCATATTTTATACATTGCTTACTTGCACACTTACCATACAACTCGAATATCAAGTGACATTTGCTGTATTTGCAGTACTGTGTGCAACAGAGCTTAGCATCCAGCTCTGTTTCTATTATCTTTGAATGATCTAGACCAGCTTTATCTTAGCAAAAATCAAATGTACTTGCGTGCTTCTGTTGTGTTCTCTCTCTTTTGTTCCATTTATAGTGAGTGTATTCAATCCACTTATACCAACACACAACTACTCAACCACACTGGATGTAGATACACACAAAACAGATGGGGCACCAGGGAAAATACTATATTTATCCTCCTGTTTATATTGGGTTGCTCATACAAAATTAGCTGAAGAACAATTCATTAATGCATATAAGGTTTAAGGTTAAGGTTAATTTTATTGTCCCTGTAGGGAGATTTGTCCCCTGAATTTGACCCAGTGCATGAAAGTGTTTTGGCCTGTTGTACTTTCAGCTTAGATGAGATGCATTAATTGGTTCATTTCCATTGCAAAAACACTGCATAAAACAAGATTCCTTGGATTACATTTTACAACCACCTGGTTTAGTCCAGCTCTGGTCGTGAGTGTACTTATCCATCTGACAAATCACTACAGAGATCTGTGCCATCTTTTTTCCAATGAAATGTATTTGTTACTTGTCTATTGTGGAGTGGGTGGACCATTAAAACATACAGTACAAACATTATCTGCACCACAAGCTGCTAGTGTATAGTGCTTTTCGGTAGATTGATATAAACTTCATACATTCCTAGACACTGGTCCAAGCTCCAGTATGTGCATGAGGAAGTGTCTTGCAGGGGCAGGAGGGTGAAACCTGTAATCGGCTCATAGTAGTGAGTAATGCTGATCTCTCCAGACAGCAGCGAGGAAGGGAGAGTGAGAGAGAGCCACACACTACAGTGCAAACAAAAGAGCCTGCACCTATGCTGTTTTGTTACCAGAACAAAAAAAAAGAAATGTTAGACTGAAGGACACAGTTTAAGAAATGAAATCCAATTGTGAAGCTGGAAATTTAGTTGTTCATAAGTCTCTACAACTAAGTATTGGCAGCTATTTATCATATAACTATTAAAGGCCCTGATCTATGTTATAATGTTGTTTCCTCTTCACAAACATACTTTTAGTTTTGTTCTGTGAGTTGCGTTCTTCTTTAAAACTGAAAACACTCTCTTCCACCTTGTGATGTCATGTAGTAATACAGGAAGTGCTCCACCGGGTTTTTAAAACTACATACACCTTCACTAGAATCATTTGGATCATTTCAGTCCTGGAATTTCCGATCTCTACTGAACTAAAGGTAAAAGGTGTTAACTTGAAAACTACCGCTTTGTGACATCATAAGGTGGAGTAGAGCATTTTGAGCTTAGGAGCTGAACACAATGTATGTTTTTGAGAAGAAAACAACATTATAACATGGCTTAAAGCTCACAAGAGTCAAATTTGTGTAATATAGGACCTTTAAAAGTAATAATAACACAAACATAAACACTGAGCATTTGTGATGGTAAGATGAGATTGAACAACAAAGGAGATGTTTAAATAGCTTCTTGAGACATAATCATAGTATGTCCATAAATTGATTGTTTTGCAAGAGGAGGAGCAGACAGGGCGCTCATTACTCACTGTCTGAGTGTTGTTATGGTGCTAATCATAGCTGCTCTCCTTGACTCTATAACAGACCGTTTGACCCATTTCCACTGATTTAAAGGGACAAAGCTGTTTACATCCAGTCATCATCCTGTGGGTTTTAGAGGTGATATTGACTTGGGTTGTTTAAAATTTAACAAGAAAAGCCAGAGGGACTCCACACACTGATAAAGAGAACATAAAAATACCAAAAAATACTCTTGATTCTATCATATTGATACTGTAATGCAAAAAAATGTATTGTGATTTTTAGACATTTTAGTACATCCCAATAACCATTAAGATGCATGTTTGAGTTACAAAGATCAGTAGTGAAGAGTTACAGAGTTAGTTTTTCCGTTTGATTAGTGATTAGCCCTGAAGGAAGAGCAGATGTGAAGAGAGATAAATACAGCAGGTCTCCAACTAGGCTTGAACCAAAACACAATATGGCCAGTCCTAGTACTGTCACCATACACCTGGCTGCTTTAAGCTCACTCCTAATTTAAAACAATGTATCTTGTGTTGTTATTGAATTACTGTGGCTAACATAGTCTTTCTTTGAGGGAGAACTTCTTTTGTGGATCAGCCTCATCAGTATGTGGGAGAGAGCAGCTCTGCTTTTATCTCTATTCAGCTCATAAACCGATGCTGGTATGTGCTTGCAAGATTCACCGCCAAGCACCTCCACTTGAATATTGCAATAAAAACTCCCATTTCTACCCATTATTCTGTGTTAAAACAAGCTACTATTTCTTAACACTTAACCTTTTGTTCTTACATTTGAAGACGAGCCAGACATATTCACAGACTAATTGCAATTCCTAGATTTATAAGATAGAGAAGCTTGTTTGTTTCTTGAGTTGTATTTGCAAAAAAAAAGTACATGGTGTTTCCTGTTTTCTCTGTTTCAAAGCTTTGTCGGAGTTACACATGTATCACAGGATATAGCAGATTTGTTCACGAGTAGAAGAAGTAGTTGAATATAATTAGCCAGAGCAGCAGAAGGGGATTTGTGCCTCACCGGCTGGCCCCATCCCTCCCCCTTCTCCTCATACTTCAAAACCTTTACCAATGCCCCAGTAGTAGTTTGTGTTAGGGGCTACAGCGTTAGTGTCACTGCATTGCCCCTGGTGTGAAGGGTATTGCTTTTTGAAGACCATGACTCAGCTTATTCTATAAATGCCTGGATTTCTCTCTACGGTATCCTGGATGGATCTTTGCGAAGGACGCCGGTCTTGTGTTGCTACCAATGCAGATGTAACACTGGAGGATGAGAGCAAGAGGGCCCTGCTGGGAGCCTGCTAGTGCATTGCGGAGTTTTGCTAATATAGTGAATGTGTTTTTGGTTTTTTGGGGAGGGGTGAGAGAGTTGCGAGTTTGAGGCTGCCGCTCCTATGTCTCTACATGAGATCCTGCGGGAGGGAGGAGAGGCGTCCTACCGCATCATGAATCGCCTCAGTCAAATTATACAAAACTTGGACATTACAGGATTGGCCAATCCATTCCCCTTTAGTCCTGACAGCCGCAAGAACTCCTGGAGAGAGTGGGATGGTAAGATTGATCATGAAACTTGCTGTGAGAAATTACAACTTTGTTTATTATTTTGAGAGTGTAAGACATACTTTTACTATTCTGTATTAACAGTGAAAGTAAACATTTTAGAGAGGTGTAAAAATGACACACATCTTGTTATAGTTTATGTATAATGCTGTTAAGAAAGGTCAGCTGTGGTCCAAGGACATAATGACTAATTTTGTGTGGTTTTGAATCACAGTCAGATACTTACTAATTTAATTCAGGTTTCACTTCATCATTCAAGTGTAAACTCTAGTATTATTTTTTTTCTTTTTCATCTTTATTTTAGATCAAGCAAAAAACAAAATGAAATCCCTCCTACACTCCAGCCCTCTCTTCACACTCCACACATACACAAGACTACACAAAAAACACTAGGTAGACAAACATCAAATGTCAGTCAAGTCCGTATTAGTATTTTCTTAACATTAATTGAGCAGCCCTGTTTGTACACTTGTATCTTCCTTGTGAGAGCTAAATTTTCTGAGTTTTCTCAAGGCTCCATGCACAGATCTTTGTAGTTTATTTTGGACTTCCTTTCTTTCTCTCTCTTCTACTCTGTTTTCTTTGCGTGTTGGGGGATGCATGTCTGTACTACTTTAACAGATGCCTCAGTTTCCCCACATTGAGATTCTGGCAGCAGCGCAGTGTTTTTCCTGCGCAGTGAACCACTCTTCTGCAGAATAGAAATAGCAGCACCCCAGCAGTGAAGTGGCCTGTATGAAGGTCTGAAAAGTGCTGATCAAAGCTGCTGAGCTGGCCAGTCAACCATAGAGCAGAGACCTTGGAAATTTTAAAAGGACTTTCGGAGAGGTTTGCAGTCATAGAGAGATAGTCATGGGGAGGAAGCGCAGGACTAGCACTGCTTCGTCGGACAGTGGGATCCCGATGGTGCAACTCCACTCACGTGAGTCTGGGGACGCCGTTTGCTTTATTGACGTACTGGCATGACTACTATACTATACTCCTATCCTCTAAGTCTTATATTTAGCATTGTATAGCCAGTAAGATATATATAGGTTGGTCTATATATCAAGTTGATATGTGCACTCTTTAGCATATCAGCTATCTGAATTAAAGGTGCACTGTGTAACTTTTCTGAGAGAGGGTCCACCACCTGCTTGATTCCATGTTAATGTTAATGTTTCACCCCGAATGGCATTTAAATTAACTAACCATAAAGACAGCAATGCTCATGACAAGGCCAAGTTACAGGGCAGATCTCTGGAGAAGTGGGCCCGCTCCCACTAAGACTGCATGGTTTTACTGTCACAGCAATAATCGCCATGGAGACAAGCTGGTAGTAGACCCTCCATCAGAAAAGTTGCGCAGTGCACCTTTAAATCTCCAGCTGAGGCCGATAATTAGTTTTGCCCAACCTGCTGCCTAAAAACACCCATTAAGCTTTTTTTATTTTAACACTTTAGTGCAACTGACAACTGCAGAAAACACGACTACACAGCTCTTCTTATGGGTGTGTGGTAATAAAGAATTGTGCGCGAGTATGTAGTAAATTTAAATAACAGAATTTGTGGAAAATAATCTAAATCGACCCTACTTTTTAGTCACCATTTTATCTGGATTCCAATTTATTAGCCATGAAAAAAACCCATACTGATCCATCTCTAGTACTAGTATCCCTGTCAGAGTACAGCAAGTATTTCTTGACAAAATTCTGGTTAAGTCATCAGCATTTATGACTTCCATTGTGTCATAAAAAATGTCTTTCAGAAGTTGTTATTTTCATTTGGTCATAGGAAAACCAATTGTACACATTCATTTTGTAGCCTTATAATTTTACTCTACTTTTGTGTTGGTGAATTTTATTATTTTTATGTAGTTTTGTATGTTAAGGCTTGCATTCTCACTGTGAGTGGGCTTGCCTCTCCACAGAGCTGATATGTAACTTGGCCCTGTGGTGTCACCTTTTGTCTCTGTAGAGATAAATAAGTGTAATGCCATACTGTGGAACTTTGCTATATCTCCATGGTGAGAGGCGGGTGACGGACATGCAGCTTTGGACAGTCAACTGTCAAAACTTTTTGAAACAATTTTTTTCTCCATTGCATATTTTTTACAATGCAATAATGGAATTTTCCCATTGTGGAACACTTTTTTTACACTTCATTTTTTATTATGTTTACAATGCAAATTGATGTGGATTTCTGTTTATGTAAATTGCATCTTTTCACTGGTTATTGTATTGCTCCAGGAAGTAGCACACTGACTCTATAGTTTCATTGACACTTCCCCATCCGAACTTACTGACCGCTGGAAAACCTCTAAAAATCATTACTACCTGAGCAGACAAAGACAGACTTGGCTTTTGGTTAACCCTTTTGACTTGACTCTTGTAATCTCATGGGTTTAGTTAATATGTCTCTGAGTTTGCTACGCTGATAAACCCAAGTGTGGCCTGCGTCGTAAAACAAGCTTTAAACTGCACCTTGTTACGAGTCAGACACAACAATCGCACACAGCATGTTTACTGTCTGCGTGTACCACCAGGACTAATGACCAATGGCAAAGAAGGAAATACATGATAAAACCATGACTCAACTAGATTAACCAGATTTTAACCTAAGTGACACTTGGTGTGTGTTTAAATGCACAGAAGAAAACTGATCTTCAGTAACACCTGTGTTACACATGTGTTAGTTAAAGGACATATAGGATGGAAAATGAACTCGTTTGAGCTATAAGACATGTTAGAATGGTGTTACCTCATAAAAAACATACATGGAGTTGTGTTTGTTGTGTTGTCCAAAGATGAAAATGCTCTATACCACCACCTACCACCTTCCTTTAGTAGAGATTGTCAGTTTCAGAGCTGAAATTATCCAAATTATTTTAGTGATGGTGTATGGTGTTTAAAATCACAAGGTTGAACAGGTGTTTTCTGTTTGTGAGAAGAACTTAAATTTCTCCACATTTGCAGGATTTGTGTATAACTCCAGGTATATTTTTAAGGAACCACCAAATTTCCAACCAATTCCCTACATAAATAAAGATTCTCTAAATATAAAGTAAAGAACTGCAGAGAACCATCTCGTACTGATGCTCCCAGTCACAGTTGGATAACTCACTCACAACACAACTCTCAACACAGACAGTAAAGTGACAAATGTAATTGGCAGATTCTGTTAAAACACAGTATCGTTTTTCTGGAATCACGCAAGAGATAGGCCTTTCACTTGTTTGTAATAATAGGGTCTTGTGAGGGTCGTGCCAAAGAAGAGGGGCTTCAATGACTACAGTGTGTGAATGATTAAATGGAGATGCAGACTGTGTTTTGAATAGACTACTCAGAAAGAATGGGGGCGTTGTAATGAGTCTATTGATGTAAGATGCACAGGGACTTTTGCATTATAAATATATGTTGTAATATCATTAGTATGTCATAGCATTGACACAACATGCGTAATTTACTCTATACATTGCTTTGTCAGTGGATGTGTTTCTGGGTTATTGAAATGAGAGGGTTCAGGTGGCTTCTCTGTAGGGGTGGGGTAGCCATGAGAAAAAGGCGGAGCTAATCGTTACACTGCTGCCTTTGTTGCAGGTAAAGGTAACCCGAGTTTGACAAAAGTCTCTGCAGTTAGTGAGAGACACAAATGATGACAAGAGAGCTACTGAGATGTCACTGTGAAATATCTGCAAGACGTACATGAGTCAAGAGGACATTGTCTATAGTAGAGCAATGGGGGCAGAGGACACGGTGGACTTCTTCATGGAGGAGGATGCTGAGCTGGTCTCTGGGGTTTGTCTGGATTCAGAACTGACAGAAGAACAGAGGAAAAAAGATGTGAAAAGAGAGGAGCTGGACTTGCTTGATTCTCTACTTTTTGGTCCAGATCCAGAAAGTCAGATGGATGCATTGAACACATGTGCTCAAAGTGAATCTAGTGGCATAGATTCAAAGAGGGCTCTAGACGTTTGTTTACACCCAGTGGAGGAGAGGAGCACCCATGTCAGGATATCCATGCAGGAGGTGAAGAGATACTATAGACTCTCACGCTGCTGCCACTGGCTGTTGTGTGGTAGGTGACAGCTGATAATATGCTTCATTTTAATATGTTCCTTTTTCTGGTTCAGGGTTTTGCATATTCTTGTTCTTCTTTAGAAATGAGTTAAACTAACATGGGCTTTTGTATAAATATAACACTGTTTGGCAACATGCACCATTTTCATCTACAGTCCAGTTCTACCACTCAACCATTATGATGAGCACTTTTATTAAAGATTCACTTGTAACTGTTACCAAACACAACACCTAACCTACCATCATTTCAGTTCATTTCAGTTGTGAACATTCTTCCATACAAAGCAGATTCATGAGTTATGATACGCAATGGACATCATTATACAAGTCTGTTGAGCATTATAAAACTACTATTATATCCACAATATTTTCCTACAGACTGGTCCCCTGTGACTTGGAGTGGGACAACAAAAATCATGTGAGGTTCTGAAGTGCTGCTAACCTTGCAGTAATAAAACACAGTACATTGTGTCTCCATTTAGTGTAAATCTACAGTTTATCATATGTTAGCTTGTATAGTATTGTAGCAAATAGACATAACTGAACAAAATGGCAAAGGAAAACCATATTGGGCATTGTGTAGTACATGGTGTTAGGCAATATCAGCATTTTTAGAAACAAGATTGCAATTTTGATAATATACTTTTGTTAGACACCATGCAAGATTTTAGAATTTACAGTTATATCACAACAACAGTCATTTGTGAACCACTGGTGTTTTTGTCTCTATGTCTGAAGGCTTTATCTCATTAATAGCTCCTCACATGACCATGACTTTAAGCCCCTTATAGTTGTTGTTTCCCTCCTCCTCTGTTATTGATAGACCTAACTAGCTTCAAGTAGTGACAATATGTAAAATTTGTTTATGTTCCACACTGTGGCATGTCACTTATTTATTTACTTAATTTATTGAAATATAGGTTATTGTTGCTGACTTGTGTTGTTGGTATGAGCATGGTCACTCTTCCATAGATCTGACCTGTAACGAATGAGGTCACCTGCTTGTCTCTATGGAAATATGGAGGTTAAAACTACACTGTGGAACATTCCAATCGCATTAAGTTGCAGACCTTTCACCAGAAACATTACAGATTGCACCTTTATTTTTATTTTTTTAACAAGAAAATGTTGTAACTTATTAAAGGTGCACTATAACTTCTAAAGTGGAGGGTCCGCCACTTGCTTTTCTCCACATTTTTTGCTTGGAATTTCCACAGTATGGCATTAAATATATCTGTCTTTCCATTCAATTGCAGGTATTTTATAGCTCAAAATACCTTGAAAAACATATATTCTTTCTATGTACAGGCTTGCTTCTACATAGATCTCACCATTAACTTCCCCATTGTGATAAATAAGATTATTTCCATACTGTGAAATAATTAAGACAAAGCAATAACATCTCCAAGGAGACAAGCAGATGGTGGAAAAGTTACACAGTGCACCCTCAAAGACCAGAGCGCTGTAATAATAATGAGAGAATGAGCTTGTTTGTGTCCCTGAGAAGCTTCTGCTGGTCATGTGCCTAATCTGAGTCAGTAGTATGAGGAGGTGCAGGTGTGACAGTGACCCAGTAATGTTTGACTCTGTGGCCCCAAACGTGAGCGTGAGTGCAGTCTAATCCTCTGTGTTAAGCCCTTAAAGAACATTAGTGCCGAGAGCAGCAGGTGGTTCATGCAGCTCTGTGTTTACGATTCAACACCAAGGCACTGTTGGACTTGGTTGAACTCTTTGTTGTGAGTTTTCCAAGATAATAGGTATATAAAAATGTGATGCTAATCAATACTAAAATTAGTGTTGAAACTAGATACTCATTTCACCAGGTGCTGATTAAATGATAAATTATTTTAATGGTAATACGACCAAATGGTGACATTAAAAAGGCTGTATGTCTTGTCAATGTTAATGTCTATGTCATTACATTATATTATAAGCAATCCTATCTTTTTTCCACCAAAGTATAGAATGTGGTATTGAGTGTAAAACTTATTCCTTAGTATACAAAATCTACATAGACATTTTATTATGAAAACACTAAGATATAAGTTTTTCCCTGCTAATCAGTACCTTGACTGATCCATTTCTAACATAAAAAAATTACTTATTAAAATATCTGAAAAAATAGTAAACAAGGATCTTACGTAGGCAAAGTATTAGTGTTAGTTTCAGTTTGCAGTATCTTTTTTTATTGCCATTTCTCTTGCAACAATCTGCATTTCTTCATGTTATATACCAGGAAACAGAGCATTGTGTCTTTAATCAGGTTCAATTGTATGCAAAACTGTATTATTCTGAGAACAAGTCTGAATGGGAAAAATGTCTACATTCTTAAATAATTAACCAACCTATGATTAAGACAGAAGCAATTCAGTTACTTCATCGATACTGGACATTGTGTCTAAAACAGTTAAACAGGATGAGAAAGGATATTGTAACCGTTTCACTAAATCTTCCTATAGTGTGACGTACACTGGCATTATGTTTGTCTCTGTAAACTGCCTAAGGGGTGACAAGTGGAAGATGACGGAAAAGACACTCAAGACAACAGTAAGAGGAAATCTGGAGAATGTTTGTAGGCTTTATGTATGAACTGAATGAGACTGAAATCTGACATGTTTTCAGGGGATTTCTCAGTAACAGAATAGCCTGTCTTCTGGTAACAAAGTGCAGGTCTTGGCGGGCGGGGGCTGATACTTGTGGGAGTAGCTGGGGGCGAGGCGTGGCTGGTGGAAAGAGGAAACTGCTGCTCCCTGTGTGAACTTGTGTGGGGTTGGAGCGTGCCTGTGAGCGTTGGACAGATGGACAGTCCCATGGAGCTTTGTGTCCCATCTCCCCAGGCAATAATTGACCTTCAGCCAAGCCACAATCCTGTGGCAGGTTACAAGCATCACAAAAATACCCATTCGTCTCTGTCCGGTCCACATGCCGGGCTTGTGGTGGTTTGCACACCCATGCTGCAGGTGAAGTCAGGAAGATGGATGTGGAGGTTGTGTTAATGTGGTTCATCTGTCAGTGTGGACTTCTAACTTGTATTGTCAGGATCCTGTCAACTACATTTACTTGTAGTCAGTATTTATTTACTTCTATCAAATGAAACAGGGTGCCTTTAGCAAACAGAGATTACCCAATGCTTGTTGTCAGTTGTTGCTGCATATTTTTTTGGGATAAAGCATCTTGGAGTGAATAGAAAGTATCACATGAATTAAATACATTGTAATTCATTTTAATATGAATAATTTATGCAGGTTTAAATCTAGAATAAATATGGTTTATCATTTAACCTTTGAATGAGAAAATTAGAATAGGTCACTAAGTTTCCTCTATTAATGCTAATAAACACTATTTACTTTTTTATAAATTATTTGAAGAAAAGGAATGTAATTCAGATTCAAGTTTTACATTTATGTTTAATGTTTGCTTATAGGCAAAGAAGCGGGCAGACATGTTCCACAAGTTTGAGCCCGAGTTCCAAGTGTTGATACAGTTTGTTTGAGTATCTGTGTGTGGAGGGAGCAAGAGAGAGTTTAATGTGTAATGATAGCCTAAGGCCAAGTCACCTGATAGCTTTCCCAGCAGTCACAAAGACTCACTGTCAGACATTTGGTTTGTTTAACCAGGAATCAAAAGAAGGTCCAGAGCTGAATAGGGAAGTTTGTAAGCCGACATCCAACTTATCACAAAGAAGAGCTGGAGAGAGTGGACAGAGGAGACTATGTAGCGTTTACTGACTGACAGAGAAATACTGCTCTCAAAATAAAGCTGCTCTAGACACAGCGCCGGGTGCACGGCATTGCCAGATGTCACAAGACAGGTACTAGTTTGGAAGTTTACAGTGTTTGCTTATCTGACCATTTAAATGTTAGAGAGTGCTTTACTTGCTGCATATTTCTACCTGTTGCTTAAATGCAAATACAAGTGCCTTTAAGGTGAAAATGTGCTGTATAAAAATGTGACCCTTTACCAAACAAGACCCCACTGACAAAGAATTAGTCTTTGTATGTCCTAAATGTCCTTTTGGGTAGACTTATGTCTAGACCTGTGTCTGACTCTGGCATGTTTGGTGTTTTCAGATGAAATAATGCAACTGGACAATAGTCCACTCCGAGCTGCAGACATCACTCCTGACCTCAGAAAGAGATTTGCCTTTCTCTCAGGTGAGTGTGTGTGTATGTGTGTATGTGTAACATGTATGTGTGTGCACATGCAGATGTGCATGTGCGTTTCTCTTGTGTATGTGTGTATGGCTGTTCAGGACATTGATTATATTTGCTTGTCTAATGTATTTGTAAAATCCAACAATGGTTCAAATAATCTTATCTCACATCATCACTGCAGCCTTGTGTTGGATCAGAATATCTGAGGCAGCTGTCATCAGACTATTGCTGAGCTAGACACATGTGTGAAACATATGTGAAACATGTGTGAAATGTGTACGTGCTGGAGCTGACCTTGGGGCTGCAGTGGAGTCCGGCACCATTTTGCAGTCTCAGATCAGAGCAGACGCTGAAGCATGACTGTGCACTTGCTGTTGCTATAGCAACAAGCGGAGAAAGAGAGATTGATATTCTGGCCATGGTACAGACAGCTGTTTCACAAAGAGGGCTTAGTATGTGTACAGTATGTTTGACCAGAGTAAACAGAAGAGAAAATGTGACCATTAACCACTGAGAACTAACCAGGATTGTTATGCTTTTTATTTGGAAATATAATTATGCAATTTGCAGAAATTATGTTTATATTCTGTCCTAATAAACTGAAGTTGAGATAATAGATGTTGAATTTACATTTTTACAGTGACATCCAGTGGTCAGTTACAGATAGTATTAAATAGCACATCTTAATAATAAAAGATGCTGAAATCAGTGTTTATCAGCAAACATTACTGTTTCTAATAGTGTATGTGTTTTATTTTATAGGTGGCAGAGGAGACAATGGTAGCCCCATCATCGTGTTTCCAGAGTTTCCTTCATTTGGAGAGATAACAGACAGAGAGTTCCACAATGTACTCACCTACCTGACCAGCGTGCCCAGGTACATCTGAGCATGTGTGGATTTATCAGCCTATTGTTACTGCACAGTGCACACTATAGCCCTGGGTAGCGCACTGCAGTTTACCATTAGTCATGTAGACAGCCTAATTCCAATGGCACAAAACCCAGACATCAAATATTGCCTGTAGAGGGCAACAGACACGAACCTATTGCATTGGTATGTAAATATAAATCAATGCACATGTATGTGTTGTGAAATATTTTTGGCTTAGCTTTTCTTGTCTGGGAGTACATAAAGTTAGATGGTCATTTACTAATTTAGGTTCATGGCTGTCATGACAACAGATGGCTGAGCTACCTGAGGGACCCACACCCCTCACAGGGCACATGTAGCCTCCAGCCAGAAGCCAGTGTCCGACATCTGAGGCCAATGAGTTTGAATAAAAATGACACCATATCATAAAGTCCATAATGCTGGCTTCTAAAAAACAAAGAATGCGCCATAAATAATGCATTCTGAAATGCTTTACACTGATTATAAAAGCAGATTTTGCATATTTTGGTGTTGTGCTATTGCCTCTGGGGGTTTTCAGCCATAAATCTCTGGATTTCAAATTAGCATTTCAAAAATATGTAATAGAACTGGTGAGCAAATAAGAAAAATAAAAAATCTGCAAATAAACTGATAATATAAATACTGTAATTAAATATTTGTTAAATTGCAATTGCAATAGAAACTCCAGTGTGTTTGTGTGTGTGTTTTCTTTTTTATATCTCAGCCAGACTCCTTGAATCTGCCCCTCCCCCATAAACTGAAGCCACTTGACTGGATATTGAAGCTGCTCATCACTCCATAACATGTGTGCAATAGGCCGGCGTTTTATCTAGTGCTGGTCTGTGATTGGATAATTAAAATGCTGTCTGTTGGGGGCAATGTCTAGCGATGCTTTGAGGGTCTTCCAGGCTCCATCCATGACAATCACAGAGCATGCTTTCCATGTCATGTGAACAAGGGTTTTTTGTCTGGGGTTTTTCTTTGTAACATCGACTAGAGTGTTGCAGGTGATGGTTACTAAGGAAGAGGATATTCTGGACAATTATTTAAAGGTGCATTGTATTTGGTTTTAATTAAATTCATCTAGGACTGAATTAAAAGGGGGGGAATATCTGGGAGTGAATCCTTGTATATTCTTTCATGTGCTGCAGCAGCTGTCTAAGGAGATAAAGCGCGGCATAACAAAAAGCCTGAGACAAAAGCTTACCATGCTGGGTATTTCACTCTTTGGACTCTTTGGACCCAGGGCTTTACTGGTTCTGGAAATACTGCATTTATTTGGGTTGAACACTATTGTACGTTTTTGTGTTACAGCTTATCCCCAACAGAAGTGGGTTTCATCCTCGTCATTGATCGGAGACAAGACAAATGGGCAGCTGTAAAAGGGACCCTGCTCCGGATAGCTGTAAGTTTCACCACATGCATGTACCTGGGTCCTTTTGTTTTTCTGCTAATCATACACAAAACATACATACTGTAAATACATTTATTATTCTCAATATCTATTTCGGTAAGGTAAATACCAACGCGGAGAACAGATGTTGGAATAATATAACAACAGCTGGAGTTGTTTACACTGTAAGCTTAATCTTCATCACCAGTAAAGCTTGCCATATGTACAAAAATAATAGTGTAAATAAATTGTAAAAATGCTGTAATACTGTTATGAAATATATATATACCAATTCCCTTATATCGTAAATGCACATAAAACCTTACTTGGTCGATAAAATTAATTTGCTAATATCTCTGGGTTGTTGAACGTGGAGTGATTACAATGTTCATATTAACTGCCTAACTGCCTAAAGCTGTTACGGCCCCAAAACACATGGAGAAAGCACTCGTTCATTTCAAATTAAATCCAGTTTTATTAATCCCACAAGGGGAGCTTTACAGACTGACAGCGTTGTAATATAGTGCAGTCAGTCATCCCTGTAATAACTGGTGTTGGGGTGATTCAGCAGCGAAGCTAAATGGCAGAATTTTTACACACAGATCCGTGGTCTAGTTGCTAAACCCACTCTTGGCTCATGGCTGTGTGTGTGAACGTCAAGTCCAAATCTGACAAAGAACAAAGGGCAGAAAATAAGTAGACCATGACTGAGACCAGCAGAGGCCACGGGGATAAGCTGCACAAAATCGAGGAAACTCTTAGAAGTGAGTCCCATTTACACCAAAAATATATTTGTTAAGTACAGCGGCAAATTTGCAAAATAGTATTAGCATTAAGTAATTAAATAGTAAGTACAATAGTAATAAATATTCTGTCAGATTGTGTTCATTATCTTGTTGTCCATTAAAAAAAATGTGGTTTAGTTGCTCCATAATGGGTATATATTACATTTTAGCAATGAAACATTAGTATATATTGTCAGTTAGTCAGTTGTTAGCTTAAAAAGATATTCTATACTAATGAAATGCATTTAAAATTTAAACCATTATGCAAAGTAATGATTTGTCTATTATTTAATTAGACATGCAGTAACACATGCGTTTCCCTGGGGGACCAAACTAAACACATTTACTACCAGAAAACAGCAGAAAAAGGAAAATACACCTCGACATTTTAATTGTAGTTTTAAGACACAATACTGGTCAAGTGATGGCTTGGTCAAATTTATGAATTGTAATATAATGTTTTTAAGATTAATTCTATATAGATATCAAAAGCACGTGCAATGATGCTGCTGAGCTAGTAATTTCTAGAGTGACCAAATCTCCCATGACACCAGTGTAAATGTGAACGCTGTATGTCTCAGGGCGCCTTCCCTGGGAACCTCCAGCTTGTCCTGGTCCTGAGGCCCACCACCCTCCTGCAGCGCACTCTGTCCGACATCCTCTTCAAGATGAACAAAGATGACTTCAAAATGAAAGTGCCGGTGAGTACAGCTCCTTTATTCCCCACTTACCTTTTGTTCACTGAATATATAAGGCAAATTAGATAAAGCAAATTTACACTGTATAATAATTACACTTTAATTAGCCTCAACGGTGCACTCTGTAACTTTTTCTGGTGGAGAGTCCGCCATCTGCTTGTCTCCATGGTGATCTTATCACTTTGCCTGAGATTTTCCACAGTATAACATTAAACAAATATGTCTTGTATTTATTCAATTACAGATGTTTTTATTACTCAAAATGACTGCATTCTTTCTGTCAGTGGGTCTACTTCTCCACAGATCTGACCTGTAACTTGGTCTTCTGATGTGGCTTACTTGTCTCCATGGAGATAATTAAATTAAATGTGATTTGTTAATGCTTATTACAGTGTACTTATTATAAAGTTGTACCAACAAATCTAAATGAAATGTTTGTGTTTGGACCTCCTGTGTGTATCTGTAGGTGATCATGCTGAGCTCACTGACAGAGCTTCATTCGTATATTGACCGGTCACAGCTCACACAGGAGCTCGGGGGGACTCAGGAGTACTGCCATGAGAAGTGGATCTCCCATCGCACTGTACGCACCAGACACACTGGGTTTACATGTCGAACAGGGACATTACTTTGACATACGTTTATTTCCTGGAGACTGATCCTAACCATAGTCACTAGTTGCCAGACCTTAGACTAACTTTAAACTGTTTGTGGGTTTCAGATTTCTGCTATTTGCAACGTGTTTTCGTTAAAAAGATCTAATATTGTGTTCTAAATTTTTAATCACTTAGGCAACGCTCCTAATTTTTCAACTTTTTCAAAAAATTTTACCCATGTCTTAGCTTGAAATCACGTTTTTGATCTAATAATAAATAATAAAGATCTGTTTTTTGTCCCCATAATGTTAGGTTAGTTTATTTGCCATTTGTAGTTAAAAAACACATTGGAAAAATGTGCAAAACACTAAAAGTGCACCATGAGACATTAAAAAACAAAACAAACTAGACAATCATTACAGACTACATATGTCACTGTGAAATAAACAAGCTACAAATATTAAGGAGCTAAAATATCAAGGTGCTACATCAAAGTTCAAATAGCATTGTTCATTGAGAAGTCTTACATAAGGGAGACAAATTGAGCATGTATACTATAGATTATAAGGTGTATTCAGACTTCAATGAGATAAATACCTGTCCAATATATGTTGTGCCTTCCACAGTACAATGAAGATATATTGATACACTTGTGTTTTCATCAGGCTATTGAGGGCTTTGCTTTGATGGTGAAGAAGATGGCACAGACGCTTCAATCATTTGGGATGGAGCTGGCTGAAACTGAACTTCCAAATGAAATTCAGGCCACAACCACTCTACTCAACACACACACCAGCAAGAAAAACAAAATGAAGGTAGGTACAATCTTTCTTTGTGCTTTATTTTGTTATGTACATTTTTTTCACATATGCTAAAACAGGAGCTTTGACATTGCATTACTGTGTGTAGGAGGACCTGTTGGTGACTTTGGGACAAGGTAGTCAGCTTTTAGAAAGCATCAATGAGCCAGTAGTAAGAGATCCAGACCACAATATGAACCAAGACGAGCTGGAAAACCTGGCCACTGTGCAAAGGTGAGAGGAGTAAACAGAACACTATTATCTTTAATTAAACAGTTTTCTCCTCCTTGAACCGTCACCTTATCGTGGTGGAGGGGTTTGAGTGCCCGAATGATCCCGGGAGCTATGTTGTCGGGGGCTTCATGCCCCTGGTAGGGTCACCCAAGGCAAACAGGTCCGGGGGGACGGGTCAGACGAAGAACGGTTCAGAAGCCCCTATGATGAGTGTACGAGCAAGGCCAGTTACGTCGCCCGGATTGGCGTCACCGGGGCCTCACCCTGGAGCCAGGCCTGGGGTGGGTGCTCGCCAGCGAGCGCCTGGTGGCCGAGCCTCCCCCCACGGGGCTCGGCCGGGCTCAGCCCGAAGGAGCGACGTGGGGCCGTCCTCACGTGGGCCCACCACCCGCAGGAGGATCCATATGGGGCCGGTGCAGAGAGATCTGGGCAGCAGTCGACGGCGGGGGCCTCGGCGACCGGATCTCCGGACATGGAGACTAGCTCTGGGGACATGGAATGTCACCTCGCTGGGGGGTAAGGAGCCTGAGCTTGTGCGGGAGGTTGAGCGTTACCGACTAGATATAGTCGGCCTCACCTCCACGCACAGTTTGGGCTCTGGAACCCAACTCCTTGAGAGGGGCTGGACTCTCCATTTCTCTGGCGTTGGCCGCGGGGAGCGGCGGCGGGCTGGTGTGGGCCTGCTCATTGCCCCACAGCTCAGTCGCTGTGTGTTGGAGTTCACCCCGGTGAACGAGAGGGTCGCGTCCCTGCGCCTTCGGGTCGGGGACAGGTCTCTCACTGTGGTGTCGGCCTACGGGCCGAACAGCAGTGCTGAGTACCCGGCCTTCTTAGAGTCCTTGGGAGGGGTACTAGACAGTGCACCGACCGGGGACTCCGTTGTTCTCCTGGGGGACTTCAACGCCCACGTGGGCAACGACAGTGACACTTGGAGAGGGGTGATTGGGAGGAACGGCCTCCCTGATCTGAACCCGAGTGGTGTTTTGTTATTGGACTTCTGTGCTAGTCACAGTTTGTCCATAACGAACACCATGTTCGAGCACAAGGGTGTCCATAAGTGCACGTGGCACCAGGACACCCTAGGCCGGAGGTCGATGATCGACTTTGTCGTCGTGTCATCTGATCTCCGGCCGCGTGTCTTGGACACTCGGGTGAAGAGAGGGGCTGAGCTGTCAACTGATCACCACCTGGTCGTGAGTTGGGTTCGCTGGCGGAGGAGGAAGCCGGAAAGACCTGGCAGGCCCAAGCGTGTAGTGAGGGTCTGTTGGGAACGTCTGGCGGAGCCCTCTGTCAGAGGGACCTTCAACTCGCACCTCCGGGAGGACTTCTCCCGGATTCCGGGGGAGGCTGGAGTTATGGAGTCCGAGTGGGCTTCATTCTCGGCCTCTATTGTCAATGCAGCTGCTCGGAGCTGTGGGCGTAAGGTCTGTGGTGCCTGTCGCGGCGGCAACCCCAGAACCCGGTGGTGGACACCGGAAGTAAGGGATGCTGTCAAGCTGAAGAAGGAGTCCTATCGGGCCTTGCTGGCTCGGGGGACTCCTGAAGCAGCTGACAGGTACCGGCGGGCCAAGCGTGCTGCAGCCCGTGTGGTCGCGGAGGCAAAAACTCGGAGCTGGGAGGAGTTCGGGGAGGCCATGGAGAAGGACTATCGGACGGCCTCAAAGAGATTCTGGCAAACCGTCCGGCGCCTCAGGAGGGGAAAGCAGTTCTTCACCAACACTGTTTACAGTGCGGGGGGAGAGCTGTTGACCTCGACTGGGGACGTTGTCCGGCGGTGGAAGGAATACTTTGAGGATCTCCTCAATCCCACCGTCACGTCCTCCGAGGAGGAGGCCGAGGCTGGGGACTCGGAGGCGGACTCATCCATCACCCTGGCCGAAGTCACTGAGGTGGTTGGCAAGCTCCTTGGTGGCAAGGCTCCGGGGTTGGATGAGATCCGTCCTGAGTACCTGAAGTCTCTGGATGTTGTGGGGCTGTCTTGGCTGACACGCCTCTTCAACATCGCGTGGCGGCCGGGGACAGTACCTCTGGACTGGCAAACCGGGGTGGTGGTCCCTCTGTATAAGAAGGGGGACCGGAGGGTGTGTTCCAACTATAGGGGGATCACACTCCTCAGCCTTCCCGGTAAGGTCTATGCCAGGGTACTGGAGAGGAGAATCCGGCCGATAGTCGAACCTCGGATTCAGGAGGAGCAGTGTGTGGTTTTCGTCCTGGCCGTGGAACACTGGACCAGCTCTACACTCTCCATCGGGTGCTCGAGGGTTCATGGGAGTTTGCCCAACCAGTCCACATGTGTTTTGTGGATCTGGAGAAGGCATTCGACCGTGTCCCTCGTGGTGTCCTGTGGGGGGTGCTCTGGGAGTATGGGGTCCGGGGCCCTTTGCTAAGGGCTGTCCGGTCCCTGTATGACCGGAGCAGGAGCTGTGTTCGCATTGCCGGCAGTAAGTCAGACCTGTTCCCGGTGCATGTTGGACTCCGCCAGGGCTGCCCTTTGTCACCGGTTCTGTTCATTGTATTTATGGACAGAATTTCTAGGCGCAGTCAGGGGCCGGAGGGGGTCCGGTTTGGGGACCACAGGATTTCATCTCTGCTGTTTGCGGACGATGTTGTCCTGTTGGCTTCATCGAACCAGGACCTGCAATGTGCACTGGGGCGGTTTGCAGCCGAGTGTGAAGCGGCTGGGATGAAGATCAGCTCTTCCAAGTCCGAGGCCATGGTTCTCGACCGGGAAAAGGTGGCTTGCCCTCTCCGGGTGGGTGGAGAGTCCTTTGCCTCAAGTGGAGGAGTTCAAGTATCTCGGGGTCTTGTTCACGAGTGAGGGAAGGACGGAACGTGAGATTGACAGGCGGATCGGTGCAGCTTCGGCAGTGATGCGGTCGCTGTATCGGACCGCTGTGGTGAAGAGGGAGCTGAGTCGAAAGGCGAAGCTCTCGATTTACCGGTCAGTCTTCGTTCCTACTCTCACCTATGGTCATGAGCTCTGGGTAGTGACCGAAAGGACGAGATCGCGGATACAAGCGCTCGAAATGAGTTTCCTCCGCAGGGTGGCTGGGCGCTCCCTTAGAGATAGGGTGAGGAGCTCAGTCACACGGGAGGAGCTCGGAGTAGAGCCGCTGCTCCTCCACGTCGAGAGGAGCCAGTTGAGGTGGCTCGGGCATCTGTTCCGGATGCCTCCTGGGCGCCTCCCTCGGGAGGTGTTCCGGGCATGTCCCTCCGGGAGGAGGCCCCGGGGAAGACCCAGGACACGCTGGAGGGACTATGTCTCTCGGCTGGCCTGGGAACGCCTCGGGGTCCCCCCGGAGGAGCTGGAGGACGTGTCTGGGGTGAAGGAAGTCTGGGAGTCCCTGCTTAGGCTGCTCCCCCCGCGACCCGGCCCCGGATAAGCGGACGAAAATGGATGGATGGATGGATATACAGTTTTTATTTTGTGTGTTTATTTTTCACACAAATTCATTTATGTCCTTGCTTGGGGTGTATCAATATAGGCCTGTCACAATAAGACATTTCGAAGCATGATGTATTGATACAGAGAAATATTGTGATAAGTGATAATACTGAAACTACTTTATGTCACTACACAATAACAATTAAGTGTGATAATCCCAGTAAACTTTTTTTTTAATATACAGAATAATTTCAAAAAGCCTGCACTACATCAAATTAATAGCAGAATTAACTAATAATAAGCTACAATATGCTACTTATTGATTCTACTCTCTACAGCTCAAATCTTGTTTTTAATAGGGGACACCATTGCGACGGCCTGAAGGCAATAAAGAAAACTTGTTCTTTAAAACATGACTCTGTGAGCTGAGAGTCACGTTGGCTTGTTGTAAAATTTGTGCATGACCAGTGAAACAGTGAAATCCTTTGTTTACTTTCTGAATGATAAAATTTATATGACATAAACAGCCAAATCAATAAGCACTTTACTATTTTGGGACTATTGATTGAAACAAAGTGATTTTATTTTGCTTCTAAAATGATTTTGTTACTTGAATAATCACAGTTATCGATTAACCAAATAAGCTTTGACACCCCTATAACTTTCTGTATCTTCATCTACTTTGATTTACCTCCAGACTGCTCTCCCAGCTGGATGAGACAGAAAGAGCATTTGATGAGTTCTGGGTGAGGCACCAAACTAAACTGAACCAGTGTTTGCAGCTGTGCCACTTTGAGCATAACTACAAAGAGGTGAGCTTGAACATCCACATTCTCATCGTGATAACTGACCTTTGACCTAAAACTCAGGAGGATGTTGGTGTTTTAGGTGAGCGCTCTGCTGAGTCAGGTGGTAGAGAAGCTGGCAACGTTCTCCGAGGTGGGGATCAGCCCTGCACATGCGGACCATATCTACAGTGAACTCACCACCTACGAGAAGAAAGTCTGTGTAAGTGACTATAGACTACTTTTATGTTCTTGAATTGATTTTGTCATAATTTTACATGGAGGGCAGGGGCCAATAATACTCTGTGGGAGATTTACTGTCTGACAGACCCATAAACAGTATAAATAAATGGATGTTGCTAACCCGCGAGCTACCATGTTCCAAATAAGAAGTGACCATGGGGGTGCTTCCGGCTTCATGAACTTGGCTCCAATTGACTTTACTTTGAAAAACTGTCACCTCTCTCTCTGTAACTGCTGGAGTGAGTCTCATCATCTTGATCTTAAAATATTTGCATTAACCCAGTATTTTTTTTTTTTTTTAGCTATTTTGTCCGTAAATAAATGACAAAAAATTCTTAATATGAAACTGTGCTCCGAATTCGCCCCTATGACTGTTAGCCTCGTGAGTTTCATTTGACAAAAAACAAACTCTGTGGGCAACGTCACACTCCTTTAGTCACTTTTATATACAGTCTGTGGACAGTGACAACTGACAGCAATCATGTTTTTAGGGTTGAATAATGGCACAACTTTCAGAGATTCTCAAACTATCCGTACCCGTTTTTCTTTTATATGAATAGGCCCAGTAAGTAGAGATGTTAACCATAAACCAGGTCAACAAATCTGCACTCTGACAGTTAACCAGCTTAATTTTAAGAACATTGGGATTTTTCCAGAATTGTTTGAAATAAGTGTGAATTCCTGGGTTTCAAATTACATCACAACTTTGTCTAGGCCTCTACTATTTAATACAGATGGGGGGCAGCTAAAATGAATATTGGTAAAATCAGAATTTTCCTGTAATCCTGAGAGTTCCGCTCAGTTTCATTTCTCTCCAGTGACTAGGTCAGTAATCAGAATACACTAGACAGTTCGCGAAAACCCTGGAAGTGCGAGTTCGGGCATCAGCCAATCAGCAAAGAGCCATACATTCTGTGTTGGCAACGATTCCCGAGATCAAGGATTTAAAGCCAGAACAAAGAGAATGTTTGGTGAATTTTATCAACTGGAAAGACGTTATTGCCCTTCTTCCTACAGGAGTTGGGAAAAACTTAATATACCAGTTAGCCCCGTTAGTGATGCATTACATACGTCACAACCAAATAAGAGTGATTGGTTAAATAAAAAAGTTCCTGTCTACTGTCGAGTGAACAAATTCCAATGCTGCGAGGTCAGACGGTTTCTACGAAGTGAAACTGGTTGATGAATCAGGCTAGAGAGTTCTAGGGTCTAGACACTAAAATAAACAATCAGGTTCAACATTTGTGCACTTACCTTTTAGATATTTCATGGCAAAATACAATGTAAAAAAAACTGGAGAGTCAGACATCACTGCATTCAAGAATCTGAAAACCCCTAGTATCTAGAATTCTAAATAAAATGCAGTGAATTTCAGTTTCACTAATTGCTTTCTGATTTATAGGAGGTGGTGGACAGGGCTTCAGCTTTGGCCGATGAGGGTGAGGAGCTGGTGCAACACTCGCACTATTCAGAGGACTCCATTCAGCCAAAATGCACTGACCTGAGATCAGCCAGTGAAAATGTATCCAGCAATTTCAAAGCCAAGAAAGCTCATCTACTGAAGGCTCTGGAGCTACACCACCATCTGGACGGGGTGAGTCTTCAACACAAAACACTACTGCTTTACTACCTTGCTTTGTGTATAATATCTTACTCTTTTGTTTCTCTTGCAGGCTTCAAAGTGGTGTGATGAGGGCATATACTTGTTAGCGTCCCAGCCAGTGGACAAGTGTCAGTCACATGAGGGGGCGGAGCTAGCACTGAAGGAACTTGAACGCCACTTGGACAATTCAGAGCAGAGTCAGTTGACAGACCTTAGTGGAATATGGAGTGAATATGAGACTGTTCTTAACCCGCAGTTCAGAGTAAGTGTAAAAAAATGTTTGCACTGCCACCTGGTGTTTATAAATGAAATGGAAAAATCCTTCAGCATTTTATAATGTTTTTTCCTCATCACAAACATACTTGGAGTTGTGTTTTGTTTCATTCACACATGTTTAACACGCAAATCCTGCATATTTAAGCAGAGTTCTCTCACTGAAAACACTCACTTTCACAATGTGATATTATGTGTTATACTCAAAATGCTCCACTGTGTTTTTAAACTCGATACACCTTCAATAGTCATTTCGATAATTTCATCTCTGAAACTGACCATCTCTACTGTATCTGTGAACTTGAAAACTACCTCTTCATGACATCACAAGGTGGAACAGAGCATTTTGAGCTTTGAGATGAAGACAGACTAATTAACCAGGATTATTCAAACATGTGTGAATGAAACAAAACACATTTCCAGGTATGTTTTGATGAGGTAACAATATTATAATATGGCTTAAAGCTCACCAACTCACTGCCGTAGTATATTGGAAATAATATACATCCTCTTATATAGAGTTTTTTCTGGCCATAGGATCAAGTGGAAAAGGTCTTCCAAAAGCAGACGTCGATGTTGGAGATGTTTGATAAAAGGAGGGTCAGTTTGAAAAAGCTTGCAGCAAAACAGACAAGACCAGTCCAGCCTGTCGCCCCAAGACCAGAGGCTTTCATCAAATCCCCCCTCACCTCTCCTGGTACTTTTATCAGTACTGTCCAAACAAAAATAAAGATTTAGATTTTTCAAGTAGATTTTATCATCATCTGTTATCTTTAATAATTCAACTAAACTCTGCCACAGCTCACAAAGTACAACAGGAGAAGATTTCAGAGGTGGACTCCTGCAGTATCATCTGTGAAACGGTGCGTGAAGGCCTAGTTATTTAAATGTTATGTGTATTTTTTATGTAGATATCAATCAGTGTAATCTGTATTTTCTCCTCTCTCCTTCAGGGAAATGGACAGCTGCTGAATGGGGACAGTACGAGCCGACATGCCTCTCTGTCGGAGGAAGAGGAAAACCTGGCAGTTCTCCGGAGGTGAGGAAGAAACCATAAACTCCTTAAGTTACACACCAGATGGCCACCATGAAAACTATTATAATTTCTCACAAAGCATGTCTTTTATTATGTTCCTATCTTCATTGTAGACATGTGATGAATGAGCTGCTAGAAACTGAGAGGGCCTATGTGGAAGAACTGCTTTGTGTCCTACAGGTATTTTCCAGATCAGATCATCCTTGTAAAATTTAATACAAAATATTAAAATAATAACAGTTAGTTTGTTTTGTATATGAATGTATTTATTTTTGTTTCACAGGGCTATGCCTCTGAGATGGATAATCCTGCAATGGCCCCCCTCATCCCTGCTCCTTTGCAAAACAAAAAGGAGATTTTGTTTGGCAACATGCCAGAAATCTACCACTTCCATAAGAGGTGAATGGGCGCCATCTGCAGGAATTTGATATCACTGCACAGCTATGTGTTTCTGTTAGTTGCAATGTTTATTTGCTAAACTATGTATGTTTTGTCTCTTGTAGAACTTTCCTCCGAGAGTTAGAGCTGTACACTGACTGTCCAGAGTTGGTCGGAAGATGTTTTCTTCAACGTGTAAGTAACTTAAGTTTATTTTTTCTCTGAATATTGTGAGGTTCTGTGTTCTTAGTGTTTGTTTCTTTTTAGATGACTGACCTACAGATCTATGAGAAGTACTGCCATAACAAGCCCCGCTCAGAAAGCCTTTGGAGGCAGTGCTCTGACTGTGCCTTTTTCCAGGTAATCAAAAGAAATGGTCCACTATGTTTTACCAAGTACACAACAGTGTAATTAAATAACTGTCTCTTGATGCTTACCAGGAGTGTCAGAAGAAGTTAGAACATAAACTGGGACTGGATTCTTATCTGCTCAAACCTGTTCAAAGAATTACCAAATATCAGCTGCTATTGAAGGTATACCTCTCATTTCATAAAACCAGTGTTCTTTATTGATACTCATATGTAAATGTATGAAAAATTACAGGAAATGCTGAAGTACAGTAAGGGCTGTGAAGGAGCAGAAGACCTCCAGGACGCTCTTACCTCCATTCGTGGGCATCCTGAAGGCCGTTAATGACTCCATGCACCTTATTGCCATCACAGGATACGAGGTGAGACTAGCAGAACAAGGCACAGGGATGCTTAAAGGGCCCATATTAGGCTCTGTTATAATGTTGTGTCCTCATCAGAAAAATACCTGGAGTTGTGTTTTGTTTCATTCACACATGTTTAACACACAAATCCTGCATATTTAGCCTGAGTTCTTCTCTCAAACTGAAAACGTACTATGATGTGATGTGGTAATATAGATAGTGCTCCATCCTCTTTAAACTTCATGTACTTTTACTAGAATCATTTGGGTGATTTAAGCCCTGAAATGGCCAATCTACTGATTCTCTCTACTGAACTGAAAGTAAAAGGAGCTGTTAACTTGAAAACTACCACTTCATGACATCACAAGGTGGAATAGAGCATTTTGCACTTTGTAAAAAGACAGACTAATAAATCAGAGTTACTCAAACATGTGTAAATGGAATAAAACACAACTCTGGGTATGTGTCTGAGGGGGTAACCACATTCTAACATGACTTTAAACTCTCAAGAATCCATTAATAAGTAATATAGGCTCTAATAATTATTAAAAACTAAAAGATGCACTTTTTTTCATAGGGCAATCTGAGTGAGCTGGGCAAACTGCTGATGCAAGGCTCCTTCAGTGTGTGGACAGAGCACAAGAAAGGCCATGCCAAAGTGAAAGACTTGGCCCGCTTTAAACCCATGCAAAGACATCTCTTCCTACACGAGAAAGCCCTCCTCTTCTGCAAACGAAGAGAGGAGAACGGAGAGGGTTACGAGAAAGCCCCGTCCTACAGCTTCAAACAGTCCCTCAGTGTATGTTTTTATTTGTCATGTAATTTTATTGAAGGTTTTGCACAATACAGTACAGTCGGAAAGGAATTTAACATATATTTGCATGAAAAATATTACTCTGGAATTATACACAGTTGTATATCTGCTGAGACTGAGACTGTTCATTTCAGTTGTATAATCTTCCCACTGTGTTGTTTAATAGATGAATGCTATTGGCTTCACTGAAAATGCCAAGGGAGACAACAAGAAGTTTGAAATCTGGTCCAACTCCAGAGAAGAAGTCTATATTGTGCAGGTATTATCTGTTGCGTAATAGATGTCTAATTAACAATACAATGATGATTTGTTAAAATAATGTTGCATGATAATAGGCCCCCACTGCTGAAGTGAAGACTGTTTGGGTGAATGAAATCAGAAAGGTCTTGACAACACAGCTCGAGGCATGCAGAGGTAAAAAATTATTGTCTTTCTTACTTTTCTTAAAGGTGCACAGATTAATATTTCTAGTGTCACACCTGCTTATCTCCATGGAAATGTTATTACTTTGCCTAGAATGTTCCACAATATTGATTAAACCTATCTATCCCATGGGAGACAAGTGGGTACTACGCTACATTACAGTTTAGATCTGTGGAGAGTCATCCCTACTCACAGAAGGAATTATTGTATTTTTGAGCAACAGAAACACCCGTAATGAATTAAAATCTAAATGGATATGTTTAATGTCATATCATGGAACATTCCAAGCAAAGCAATAATAAAAAAGTTGTGCAGTGCACCCTTAATGTGTGAAATGAAACAATCCAGTGTATGATTTTGTTTGTCTTGGTACTTTCAGAGGCCAGCCAACAGAGGGCACCAGATCATGTTTTCCAGTTTCCTCCAATCACAGGAGGAGCTGTGAGCCTCAGGTATGGTCTCATGAATTGGCTAATGTTGAATTTTGTCTAAGGCTTCATAGTTACTTTGAGTGATAAAATCCACAGCCCTTTTAAGACTGGACAGAAGTCACTGAAGAAGGGAGAAGAGAGGAGAGCAGAGCCAGGCAGCCCGGATATCAACTGTTCTTCACCGAAACCAGCAGGAAAAGGTTTGTCAAAATCAAATAATTCTTAGATTGTCTGATTATTTTTCTCTTTCTGCTTTCTATTATATGTAAACTCACTGTCCTGTCATTATGTCTGTCTTTCCCTCTGTTTTTCCTGTTACTCAGACGAGACTCTCATAAGTCCTACCTCAGACAGAGCAGCTGTCGCTAAAAAACGCTTTACTTTACAGGGCTTTAGTAACCTCAAAGCCCCGAAAGGTAAATACGAGACACGTTCAGATCCAAAAGTAGTGATAAACATACAATATAGAATGATATTATACTATTATCATTGTGGTAATGAAATAGTAGGTCAAATACTGCATGCTTCCCTTCACAGAGTTCTCAGCTACTGATGATAAAAGTTTTACATTACCCATGGTGATTCTACCACCTCCAGGTATTATTTGTGTTAGACCCTGTGCTCACTGTGTCTGTTAAATTGCCTTTGTCTAAGTGTTAAATACTAAAGAACCCCTTCAATTTGTCTTTCTTAAGCTTTGGCCTTGTAACATACTTCAATTATTTTTTTTCTTCTTTCTTCTTTATTTATTTTTTTGGTCGTTGTCATTTAGAATCTCCACCGAGTCCTGATCGCAAGACAAAACGGCAGAGTGATCCCACACCATTTGGCTTCAAAGGTAAAAACAACTTCTTAAAATGTGTTTTTTTTTTGTTTTGCAATAGTGCAACAACTTTTAACTTTAAAGGGACCATATTACACTATTTTCTGATTTATGTTTATGTTGATTCCTCATCACAAATATATTTGGAGTTGTGTTTTGTTTCATCCACACATATTAAACACACAAACTCTGCATATTAAGGCTTTTCTCAAACAAAAAACACTCTGTTCCATCTTGTGATCTCATATATTAATACAGGAAGTGCTCCACTGTGTTTTTAAACCCCACACACCTTCGCTAGAATCATTTGGACAATTTCAGCCCTGAAATTGCCAATCTCTATTGAACTAAAGGTAAATTGTAGCTGTTAATTTGAAAACTAATGCTTCGTGACATCACAAGAGCATATTGAGCTTTGGAGATGAAGACAGAGTAATAAACCAGGATTACTCAAACATGTGTGAATGAAATAAAATACAATTCCAGACACTTTATGTTTTTGATTAGCTAATACCATTACAACATTTCTTAAATCCAGAGGTGGGGACTTGCGAGTCATGACTTGGACTTGAATCAGACTTGAATCATTATTTTTAGGACTTGAGACTTGACTTGATAAAATGGACTAAAGACTTGGGACTCGACTTGGACTTGAAGGTCAGTGACTTGGGACTTGACTCAGACTTGAGGCCTGTGACTTAAGAAGACTTGATGCTTCTCCTAAAAAAAACATACATGCTTTTAGAAAATACTTGTGTCTTTATAGTTTATAGTGCCTCCCACTTCTGTTTGTAAATTTTGGTTGTAACTCAAATACTGTGATATGGTATCCTCAAATGTACTACAGTAATATACAGTACAATACAGTGAAACAGAGAGAACTACAAAAAACTACAGAGAACATGATCACTCATGACAAAATAACCATTATTTAGCACTTTTAAATCTGAATTCTTTCTATTCTGACCGTAATGATTCACACTAAGATCTTGACAAGACATTTCTTATATAAATACTCTTATATAAATGTTCATATATAAATATACCATGAGTTTTAAGTACCATTTACTTTAAAATTCATATAAATGGCTAAAACCAAAGCTATATTTGGTACTTTGGTTTAAAGACTTGAAATGATTTGAAGCTCAAAGCAGATGACTTGGACTTGACTTGCACTTATGGGTTAGTGACTCTAGACTTGACTTGGACTTGCCTGTATTTGACTTGGGACTTGACTTGGACTTGAGGTCAAAGACTTGAGACTTACTTCACACTTGCAAAACAACGACTTGGTCCCACCTATGTTTAAATCTCACAAGAGTCAAATTAGCATAATTTAGGACCTTTAAATCTGTGGTATAATTTAGTATAGCTTTAACGCTCTTGGGGGATGACTGGTTGTCTTCATTGCTTCATGTGCTTCAGATGCAGGCCCCCCACCCCTTCACCTGAGCAGAGCCAATTGGTTCAGCACCACTAGTGTCATACACAGTAAATGGAGAGGTACAATGGTCACAGCTCAGAAAAATTAAAGTTATTTTTCAACCTAAAAGGCTTACTTCATGTCTTTTTTTCCATTCAAGTTTTCCTCAGACAGTGCCTTAGACAAATCTTCAGATATAATTTGCATGGGTGTCCTGCAGTCCCTGGGAAATGCCCTTTAATTGCAGTCTCTTGCATCATTCTAGTCTCCATCTTCTGTAAATTTATGGTGGTCGGGAAACAGTTTTTATGTGTTGATCCTCATTTTCTGGCCAGAATTTTGCTTAAACTTTCCTTGGTACACTTAAAGTGACTATCTCCTTTCTCCTTCTCTGCTTTTAGAAACAATAAAAGTAAATGATGAGGCCAAACTTTAATCATTTTTATTTTATTTTGTGTTTTACAGGGTGGAACAAGGCCTCTATGTCCCTGAACGCCTCTGAGGAGCAGGATGGATACTCCAGTGCTGAAGATCCACTAAACTCAGACAATGAGGAAGAAACTGACAAGAAACTGGTAGATTATAACTTTAAAATAAAAAGTAAAGCCTAGCATAGCAATAATTTTCCAACAATAATCATTTGTTTTCTATGTCTACAGTGTGTTGGCAAGTACACTGTGAATATTGACCTCAATGGCTCTGAAGATTTGTCCTTGAAGAGTGGAGACATGGTTCAGTTAGTCCGAGAGGGCGAAGACAAACAGTGGTACAAACCCATAATTTTTGTTGAAATATATTATCATAATCTGTGAAGGGAAGAGATTATGAGCAGATATGGACATCATTTTTTAAATATTTAGACAAAATTAGACTTGAGTGAACAAGACCCCGAGATACTTGAACTCCTCTTGAATTTGAACTTGAACTTGAGGCAAGGACTCTCCACCCCCCTGGAAAGGGCAAGCCACCTTTTTCCGGTCGAGAATCATGGCCTCGGACTTTGAAGAGCTGATCCTCATCCTAGCCGCTTCACACTCGGCTGCAAACCGCCCCAGTGCACATTGCAGGACCTGGTTCGATGAAGCCAAAAGGACAACATCATCTGCAAACAGCAGAGATGAGATACTGTGGTCCCCAAACCGGCCCCCCTCCGGCCCCTGACTGCGCCTAAAAATTCTGTCCATAAATACAATGAACAGAACTGGTGACAAAGAGCAGCCCTGGCAGAGTCCAAAATGCACCGGGAACAGGTCTGGCTTACTGCCGGCAATGCGAACACAGCTCCTGCTCCGCTCATACAGGGACCGGACAGCCCTTAGCAAAGGGCCCCGGACCCCATACTCCCAGAGCACCCCCCACAGGACACTACGAGGGACACAGCCCCGCAACATCCAGAAACTTAAGATACTCAGGATGGATCTCATCCATCCCCGGAGCCTTGCCACCAAGGAGCTTGCCAACCACCTCAGGAACTTCAGCCAGGGTGATGGACGAGTCCGCCTCCGAGTCCCCAGCCTCAGCTTCCTCTTTGGAAGACATGACGATGGGATTGAGGAGATCCTCAAAGTATTCCTTCCACCACCGGACAACGTCCCCAGTCGAGGTCAACAGCCTCCTTCCGCACTGTAAACAGTGTTGGTGAAGGACTGCTTCCCCCTCCCAAACGATTTGCCAAAATCTCTTCCATGGCCTCCCCGAACTCCTCCCAGCTCCGAGTTTTTGCCTCCTCAACCGCAGGGGCTGCAGCACGCTTGGCCCGTTGGTAACCATCAGCTGCCTCAGGAGTCCCACGAGCCAACAAGGCCCGATAGGACTCCTTCTTCAGCCTGACGGCATCCCTTACTTCCTGGTGTCCACCACTGGGTTTGGGGATTGCCGCCGCAACAGGCACCACCGACCTTACGGCCACAGCTACGAGCGGCCGCATCAACAATAGAGACCAAGAACGAAGCCCACTCGGACTCCATGTCCCCAGCCTCCCCCGGAATCTGTGTGCAGCATCTGCAGTAATGCGGTCACTGTATCGGACCGTTGTGGTGAAGAGGGAACTGAGTCGAAAGGCGAAGCTCTCGATTTACCGGTCAGTTTTCCGTTCCTAATCTCACCTATGGTCATGAGCTCTGGGTAATGACCGAAAGGATGAGATCACGGATACAAATGCTCGAAATTAGTTTCCTCCGCAGGGTGGCTGGGCGCTCCCTTAGAGATAGGGTGAGGAGGTCAGTCACACGGGAGGAGCTCGGAGCAGAGCCGCTGCTCCTCCACATCGAGAGGAGCCAGTTGAGGTGGCTCGGGCATCTGTTCCGGATGCCTCCTGGGCGCCTCCGGGCGTGTCCCACCGGGAGGAGGCTCCGGGACACAGGACACACTGGAGGGACTATGTCTCTCGGCTGGGTTGGGAACACCTCAGGGTCCCCCCGGAGGAGGAGGACGTGTCTGGGGTGAAGGAAATCTGGGAGTCCCTGCTTAGACTGCTGCCCCCCGTGACCCTGCCCCGGATAAGCGGAAGAAAATGGATGGGATGGATAGACTTGAGTGACAGCTGATGTTTTTTTTCCTAGTGTTTTTTTTTTTTGTAGCTTTGTTTAGTGTGGAGAGAGATGTGGACTTTGTGTTGTTTTTTTGTTGTGTAATATAAAAAAGAGAAATATATAAAGAAGGAAATATATTATTAGCTAATTTATCATCAATACTTCATTTGTATATGTGTTTATGCATCCATACTAATAGATAAAGGGACATTGTTCAAACACACATGTAAAACCACACCAAGTTTGAACAGCCAAACTTTCTGGGTGAAGTTTCTCCCACTGAGACTCTAGGCACCTGTCATCTTATGTGATTTTAATTGTAATGTACATAGTGTATGTTTTGTCATAATTTTTATATAATATTTGTTTTATGTTTTTTGTAGGCTTGTCCGCAACCTTAGCACTTCAAAGGAGGGTTGGATTGCTGCTTCAAATCTTACATCACTCATCAGGAAGTCTAAGTCATGCCAGTCCCTCAACAGCTCAGGTATGCCATCCAATGATTTGATATGAGTAAAGTATGACATATTCTAATTTGCATAAAGAGGCCTAGTTATATTATATGGTATTGATGCTCTTTACAGAGGGCAGTGGCTCTGGAAACCTCAGCACGTCGTCCAGTTGCAGTGAGAGCTACACTGGTTTTTCTGACATCAAACCCTGAGATCATGTGCACTTTCTGTTCTCGACCAAACAGCCCTTTTTGATGCTAGCATCACGTGACTATCTGTGCTGTATTGCCAACGTTGTACCCATACAGTCTATGGTTGTACCATTTGATCATTGTACAATTTCCACAAAAACATGTCTCTATTATTTGTCTGGTCATAAATAACAGTAATAATGTTAAGATGTGTCAGAGTACATTTTGAACCTGCGGTTAATTCTCTTTTTCACAATATATGTCTAATTATCCTGTAACAGTGGTATGAATGAGCCAGCCGGACTGGACTGTGTTATCTGTCTGTCTAATCAAATCACACTCAAGGTAAAACTGTTAAAACACCATCATGTAAAAATATTTGCACATGTTTACAAACTGCTAGATTTGAAGACTGTTTTGTTTATTTATTATTTACTTTTTTGTTAAAAATTCCAGTTGCATATATGTAAATTTGTCTGTAGTCTCTGTGTCAGTTCATGTAACTACCAGCTTCTCTGAGATTTTGTCTAAAAGTGATGCACAAACTTGGTGGATCAAGTAAGCTACAGTTAAAACATGCTTGCGTGAAGGTGAACTAGATGGAGATGGCTGTATAGATTTAATTTATTCCCTTTTGAGGATTATGTTGAATGTAGATATTGTTCATGTTTGTCATGAGATGTTTGTTATTGAAATGCTATATTGTATATCAAGTATGCAGATGTCACACATGTGTGACTCTTTTTTTTACATAAAAGTGTTGTAATAACTCCCATTGTGTCCATTGCAATTCTTACTATGTACTTGTAGGCCTAGTCTATATTAGAATACCAGTCATACATAATTAGTCTTGTACTGCCTGTTTGCTAAGTTACGTAGCCTGGATTGGCTACCCACAAAAACATCTTCTGAGAAGTGAAAGTGAAACTGTTTACTTTGTTGCCAGATACTAAAATGTATCAGGATAAAGTGACTTTGCTAGGGATTTTTATTTAGTGGAAACAATATTAGGTAACATAGCGTACATATTTTAAAACTTCCCAACAAATACACAGCACGCTCAAACACGAATATACGATCCAAATAAGTGTTTTGCCACAAGGGGGACTCATTTCGTCAAACCTGGCAACTAGTTGTATAGACTAGTGCGGAAACGCGCCTTGCGTGTTCCGCGTTTTATTAAGTTTATAAAATGGTCTCGTGTATACTATGCCAAAGATCCGAGGAGAACAAAGTCACTGGAGTTTTATCTACAAAAGAAGGAGTTACCGCTCATCAGAACTGCTTGGTAGGACTACAGCTCTGTAGGTTTGTGTTACCGAAGGCAGAGGCTACTAATGGTCTGAAACTTCGTTATTAAATAAAAAGGCTTTCATCTTTAGAATCTACCTTATACTGTTAGAAAAATATAAATAATCCATTACCCAAAAAGAATATTGTGGCTTAATGTTAATATTAAAACCTATTGCAGCTTGGCCCATTGTCAGTCAACACTGCCCTTGTTAAAAATCAGGGTACTCAAAATGTATTTGTAAAAATGGCATTTGTGCTATATGTATATAACTCAATTAACTACTTCGAATACAATACTTCAAAAAAGTGTCTAAATGTGAGCAGGGTTGATGTCACTTGGCCTGGCAGAGTCACCTGCTTGTCGCCAAGGAGATAGATAGCCTAGTTTTAATGCCATACTGTTGAACATTTCAGGTAAAACAATAATATCTCCATGCAGGCAAGCAGGTCCCTCCACCAGAAGGTTGGGTTACATAGAACACTTTTAAATAACTAAGTAAATGTAATCCACCTACACCTACTATAGACCCAGTAGATAGATTAGATACTTACTGGAGCACTTTTGGACTACTCTAACAAGTTTTGTGAAAAAGTAAAAAACTGTTGTTGAAGCACACAAACTCACTATTTTAATCTCAGATATTTGCCAGGTTCCGCTAGAAAATATTTCCAGGAACAAATAAAAGAGGAATGTGTTACCCAGATCAGTAAAATTGTGCATGATATCCCTAAATTAGATTTTTTTTTTCACCTGTGGATTGCAGATGTGAAACCTGTCCCTCATCTGGCCTTTGTTCAGGCTCAGCTGTCCTCTGGTCTTTTTCTGTCAGGCCCACACAGTCAGGCTGCATTAAGAGAGTATCTAATGAGGACATGTGAGAATACAATAGCCAGTCTAGTTACACATGATGACTTTAAATGCTCATTGTTGCCTCATCATGCACATTTTCACTTTTCTGTTTCACAGTTGTATTCTTCTGGACTTTTCTGCCGGAACACCCCAGACTTTGATGACTTGTTTGGTTTCTCTGCCACAGATGTTTTGTCAGAGCACCGACGTGGACTTAAACTGGTAAAGACCACAGTGCTTAAACTTTATTCCCATCTGATCAACTCAAAAGACTATGTATTATGTGTAATAATAATAATAATAATAATAATAATAATAAATATAGCCGCAAGCGACAATGATCGGCCCTCGCGCGTGCTTACGCCGCGCCCCGCAAACACCTCGCCCTGCAAACGCCGTGCCCCACACTGACCCTAATAAGCCTAAACTTAAACCTTACCCTAATCGTAATCCTAACCATAGCCCCAACCCTAGCCCTATAAATCTTAATTTAACCCTGTAATTTTCCAAATTTGGCAAAAAAAATAAATCCAAGATGGCGGACTTCCGCTTTGTAAATGGGCGTGGTCACAATATACATTTTTGTTCTTATTGCCATGATGCATCTGGATACCAAATTTGGTTTGGCTTTGCCAACGTTTGTGTAAGAACGTCCCATTGGCAAGGATACAATTTTGGCTTGTTGCCATGGCAACACAATGTAAATGGGGTGTGAGCATCATTGGGTTTTTTTAATCGAGACCATGTCACAAATGTGGGTACCAAAGGTTGTATATCTGTGACAAATAAAACCTTATTTTTACATACAAATTTTCTAGGGGGCGCTATTGAACCCATTTTTGTATTTTCTTACATAAATCTGTTCAGGGTCAGGGTGTGAACCCACAATAAAAATTTGAGTGAAATCGGCCAAAGTTTGTGCAAATTGCTAGGGCGCGCTATTGCACCCACTTTACTTACATCAGTCTGTTCAGGGTTGAGGTGTGAACTAAGGATTACAATTTGAGTGAAATCGGCCACAGTTTGTGCAAATTATCAGGCGTTGAAGTTTGATGGTGAGCCCCAAAAACAAACCCGAACACCGTGTGACCTTTTAAAAAGCTTTTAACAACTTTTAATGTCCCACTTGTCTAGATGATACAGAATGATTCTGTCTGGGTCAAACGCCCAAGGACGAGTTCGTTCAAATACGAGGACAGGTTGCACAATCAATCCAATATGGCTGACTTCCTGTTGGTTGCCTAGCAACCGCATAATATACTTTTTTGTTCCTATTCCCATGATGCATCTGTGTACCAAATTTGGTTTGACTACGCCAAAGTTTTTGTTGGCCGTCCAATTGGCGAGGGCAGATGTTTGGCCTGTTGCCATGGCAACACGATGGGAAATGGCATGGGGTCATCATTGACTTTTTTGATCAAGACCATGCCATGAATCTGTGTACCAAATGTTATATGTCTACGACAAAGTAAACTTTTGCACTACCATGCAATTTCCCTAGGGGGCGCTATTGTGCCCATTGGAGATTTTCTTATATAAATCTGTTCAGGGTCAGGGTGTCAATCAACGATTAAAATTTGAGTGAAAACGGCCAAAGTTTGTGCCACAATTTGTAGATTTTACCAATGGAGAGTTTATGTCATCGCTATGGCAACGCCATAAAATATGACATGGGTGTCACTGACTTTTGGATCAGGATGCCAAAATGGAATTTTGTGCAAAATTTCAGAAACTTTTGAACAACTATTTGGGAACAAATGATTTTCTCACATATTAAATTTTGTTTCAATCTATAGGGGGCGCTAATGCACCAAATTAATAATTTTCACATGAAGTAGCTTCAGGGCAGAGAGTTTAACAACTGTTTCAAATTTCATTGAAATCAGAGTTCGTTTGAGCAAATGTGAGCAATTTGTAAATCTCCTCAATTGTGTGCATTTTTTGTTGCTTCACTGCTCAGAGACCGTAAGACGTGTGTGAAAAATGTGGATAAGTTTTGATGTTTCATGTCTTGAGATGATGTGGACCAAATTTGAGCTCGTTCGGGTGAACGCCCTCGGGGGAGTTTGTAAAAGCTTAGCAAACTTTAAGCCAATATTGCTGCCCCCTAGTGGAGCGCACGGTGTTGGTGTAATAATATTTTTTCCTTGTCTTGACATGATCGACTTCTGTGTCAAATTTCATGATTGTACGTGAAATTTTTTTTTTTTTTTTGTCATTCGTATTCCCTAATGCATTTTTGAGTCGTTTGGTGGCACTGACGAGCCATTTTATTTCTGTTTGGAAAATGGAAATAGCCAAAACGTAGGGAAGCGCGAGTTTTACCAGATGGCAAAATTTCCAGGACTTTTTATTATTGTTTAGTGGGTGAAAAATGGGTGAGTTGGTTAGGAGAAAAATTATAATAATAAGAAAGAAGAAAGAATAATATTCTGATGCGAGAACAATGTTCGGCTTTTTTTTGGCCGACAAATTATACATTTTCGGAAACCTCTGGCGCATTGCTACGTGATGGCGAGGGTCCCTGGTCACTACGGGCGAGTCACGTCGCGCCATTCCATTTTTTGGCCACTTGGAGCATCGCTTTGCGATACTAATAGGCCCTTCGCCAGCCTCTGGCCCTCAGGCCTAATAATAATACATGCAAAACTGTTATTAATATAATTCTAAACTGAAAGCTTTTCTGATATCCATCCTTTGAGAGATCGACTAAAAGGTTGTAAATTCTTGTAAATAGGCTACTTATTGAATCAATGATTGCATTGCCATTATAAATCCATTTCAGACTTGTAACAAATGTAAGAAAAAAGGTGCTACTGTGGGCTGTGAAATCAGCACCTGCAGGAAGTCTTACCATTATCCATGTGCTATCCAAGCTAAAGCCCAGACGTTTGAGGACCAATTTAACGAGAGTTTTGGGTAAGTTTAGGTTACATTGTTTTTTATGTTGCATCATAAAAACTCTGTCAACAACAGTCATTTTATCTCCAAGGTTATACTGTTTTGGCTGTCAGAAGACAAAGTGTGAGTACACCATTTATTCTGAAATATTTGTTGCCTTCAAAACTCAATCACAAAAAGAGGTGTTCAGATAAGGTTACTGTGTTTGCTGTTGTGTTTTAATTGTCTGATGAATTACATTGTCTATGAAAATGTAAAAGGAAGTAGTCCAATATACGAGTGTTGGCACAGTTGGTTGTATTTTTTGTTCATGGTCTCATTCTCATTATCCTTCATCAATGACTGTTTTAGCTCGTACATCTTCAGAAATGGCCCTATCTGATGAGGATTTACCCAGCACTTCCACTCGCAATCCCAAGGTGAGGCATTGTCTGATTTCATTCACTCTCCACATTCATTGTAGTTATTGAACTGTTTATTTTACAGAGGAAATTGAGCTTCAATGACAGGTATGACAGTTTAATAGAAATGACAGTTTAAACATGAGTAATGTTTTGGGAACTAACTGTTTTTGGCTGATCTGTATGTGTCTGATAGAGAAGAAGAGATTAGAGCGCCCAGGCACTCTAGAAGAATAATGTCAATTGAGTCCACAGACTCTGGTAAAGTACTTGAGCAGTATGAATATTATTAGTAACTATATTCACTTTATCCTCACTTGATTTTGGTTTATAGATCAGACTGATGCTGGTGAGAACACAGGCTTGATTAGCCCTTTACAGTCAGATTTGGATGAAAATACCAACTCACAAGAACTGGTCAGTGTAAAATTTTGTAATGTAAATTGAAGATACCCCAGATTTGAATTGATATTTACATCTATTTGTTTTATTTCATGCGAAAAACTACAGTTAAACAGGTTTGTATTTTTTATTAAATAACATTATTAGGTAGTTAGATGGTTCACCTTTGTTTTTCTCCCAGAAATCTCCCTGTCATTGCTACTGTGACAGGTATGCAGTATGTACATTTATAATTCATACATTTAAGTATGATATACCAATCATAAAGGTCTTTGTTCTAGTTCAACAAAAGGAGAGCCAGGACACCACTGAGGATGCAGTCACTGAACTTCAGCCCTCAAACAGTGAACAGAGTTATCTGCTTCAAGTGGAGCCCAATGGTGTCCTCATGGACCCTTCATACTTCTGGAGCAACTGTACCTCATCAGGGTGTGCACAGGCAATATTCACAAATTTCATTCAAGAAATGACAGATATATTCACTAGAATAACATCCGGACAGGCCAGCACACAAGGTAAAATGGATGAACAATGTCCTCATGATAATTAATGATTGAAAGGTCATAAGCTGATGCATGTTGAACTTGTGCAGACTGTGATGTAGCATTGAAGGTTATGATGGCTTCTGGAAAACTTGGGGAGCTTGTAGCCAAACAACAAAAAGGTAAATTCACATCACCATTAATAATTATTGTGGTGTCAAGTATATTGAAATTTGTGTTTCTCCTAACAGATTTACAAAAGAAACTAACAGAACTGCAACAAGCTGCAACAGCTTTAGACAAAGCAGCATTGTTCCTCCCAAAATGAATAAATGTCACATTAAGTGAACAGAACTGAGGCTGCTTGGATGCACTGCGAAACATCTTCACTCAATAAAAACTAATCAATCAATCAATAATAAATATACTATACAACACATGTGCTGGCATATTTTCTTTACAAGTTAAAATGTAACAACACAGTTTATCAAGTATGTACAAGATCAGTGCAGATTCTCTTTTATAAACTAGAATGCACATCTCTTCAGCACAGTCCATGCTGATGGAGCCTATACAAGGCCAAATCTCCTAGTGCATGTTGGGTAATTATCAATTCTTGAATGCTCCACAGCGACTGGCCCGACATATGAAATCTTTTAGCAGATGACCATCAATTTGCCAAAAGGCTACAGTCTGGGTTACTTCTGTCAGGTGATTGACACAAAACTTGAAGCAGAACTCCTCGAGATCCTACATGATAATTTATCATAATATATTAGAATGTTTGTTAAACTGTACTGTTGACTCGAATTAAAAACTTACCTCAGCGTCATAGCGCACTGCTGCAGAAAAAAGTGAAAAGGCATTTTCTACTGTTATTCCTCTTTTGATAATGTGCTGACAGAGACGTTTAAGATGATTTTCACAATATGAAGTTGCAAGGTCCAACAGCCCTAATGCAGGTAATATAAGTGTTGTTTGAATATAGCCCGAACAGTGTCTGACAACATTAAGTCTCACCAATGGCCTCTTCAGGTGAAAGGTCCACATTGTCCGTGTAGAGGAACTCTAGGAAAGATCTGTAAACTGGATATGAGAACTGATCTATTTCAATAACCTCCTTCAAATCTTCATTCCAGTGGGATTGAAACATGGACCTGAAATGTTCACACCTGAGCACAAAAAACAAAACAAAACAATGAATTAATTATATTACAATATACCATCTGTTCATGGGGACTCTGACCTGATTTTGAGAACTGCTTTGTGCACATAAATATATTTGCCATCCACACAAAACTTCAGGTCAGCAGTATCTGGATTATCAAACTCCTTTTTCAGAGACTGGGCAACAGTCAAGAAATCTTCATGTTCTGAGGAACAGGTCATTCAAAGCAAAGCATAAACAAACTCTAGCAAGAACAATTGTTAAAAAGAAAAAAAAAAAAGAATCCGAGCCAATATAACCAAATGCCTAACCCCATCTATTCTAAGTAAAGACAACTTCCTCTCACATACACACATTGAGCCCTTTTTGATTGGCCACACATTTGAATAATCGATGAAGTAATAATACTAAATATAACTCTACTATTGTACTTGACCAGACTGTCTTACCAGTGGAAAGAAGCCTCCACATGACCGGGGGTGTGGCGAAGCATGCAAAGACGTCATCAGTGCACGTGAAGTGTGTGAGGTGAGGGAGCACGATGGACTGGCCCCGACACTGGCCCCACATGTAAATCTGACCACTCTGAGTCTTGGCCGCTGATGTGTGAGTGGAGTGACAAGCAGCTATCTCTACTATTCTGTTCAAAGATACAGAGAAGATAAATAGATATAAATACATGACTATCAGCGATGGGGAACCTTTTTTTAGTAATTAGTTACACAAGTTACTTATTAAAAAGGTTATCTTTTACACTGCTTACTGCCCCAAGTAACATTATTTGTAATCTTGTACTTACGTTAATCTATGCTTTTATGTTTTATTAAAGAGACTTAAATACACGGTAGACAAATAATTTTTGCTCACATGGCATAACAGCAACAATAGAAATGGAAAACATCTCCACAATGCTACAAGCTGCTCCTCTCTGTTTCTGAGATGGTGACCTGACAGCAGATGTCATGTCTGTGGGTTTGTCACTTTCAATGAGCTCCATGTTTAAGCTGTGTCAAGACATAGTTTGCAGAGGAAGGTCACACTCCCTTCCCAAGCACTGATGTTGGCATATTAAAGTTTTTGTTTTTGTAATTTTTCATTTGACAATAATGTGTTACACTTTACATTCCTTAAAATTGTAAAACAGTGATGACTATAAGTTGATATAAAGACTCTCTTACCTTTCTTTCTCTGTCATAATTTGAACTGGGCTTAGCTGATTACTCTTGTTGCCAGTACCCAGTTGCCCATATGTGTTGGAGCCCCAGGCATACAGCAGGCCTTCATCAGTGAGGGCCAGGGAGTGGGCATAGCCCGAGACAATCTAAAGAGAGAAACCCTCAATTTCACAAGTCATTTAAAACAGCTGAATACATCAAAACTGCCCTATTCTAGCAGTCACACCATAGTTTGAACTATGGACTCAAATCAATAAGGTTTTTTTCTGGATTTTGGTACTAGGGATGCACATGCGTGTTAAATGCATGTTACCTGTTGCACACATAACCCCTGCAGACCAACCAAATGGCATGGAGTTAGCTGGTTTCCATTGTTTCCCAGACCGAGTTGTCCATTTCCATTATAGCCCCAACCATACACCTGCATGAGAAAGACTGTTGGGCTGGATACATACACAACAGGTACTTTTGTGTCTAAAGTAAAAAAAAACACCTCTCCGTTGTCGACCACCGCCAGTGATGAGGTCTGACCACAGACAATACTAACAGCCACTTTGTTCTGCAAACAGCTGGACACTCTGCGAGGTGTAGGCTGGTTGGCAGTGGATCCTGATCCCACCTGTCCACAGTTGTTATAGCCCCATGCGTAGACCTGACAAAATTCAGAAAAATACAGTGGTAATGTATAAGGAATTGTGCTGCACTGTACAAAAGCATTTTTATTCGATTGTCAAATCAAAGTATCAAAAAAAAAACATTGTCCCCACTCTAAGCAGCTTAACTGCATTCCTTGTGTGTTCAGCAAACAAGCTTCTTAGGGGAAAATTTTTTTGGTTTCATAGTGAACAAGACTTGTACTTAAATTAAGATTTTAGTCACACATTATCTTTTACAACCTTTAAAGTCTGCAATTTAAGAAAAGGCCAGATTGAACACAGTAAAGTATGAGTGCAGGACCTATACTAGTACAAATTAAAATAACACAATATCCCACACACACCTCTCCAGAGTCAGTCAGAGCCATTGAATGGTGAGACCCACAGGCGACTTCAGTGACCTTCTTATTGAGCAGGTTTGCAGACACAACTATTGGAGATACCCCCTGGTTGGTGGTGCCATTGCCAAGTTGGCTGTAGCCATTGTGGCCCCAGGCAAACAGCTCACCATCTACAAAAACAAACATTGATTCACAAGTGATTACACAGTTTGTTTGGATTACAACGTGTGTGTCCTTACCTTCAGTGGCCAGCAGCACATGAGGTCCACTGCCGTAGCTGAAACTGGTCACCTTTCTGTCACTCAGGAAGTCCAGTTTCTTAGGTACAATTGTGCTCAAACTGTCCCCGGTTCCCAGACAGTTACCACAGTTCAGGCCAAAGACAAACACCTGAGGGGGTTAGAAGGAAGTCAGCAGCAGAAAGTAAGCAATAATCTGGGTTAAAATGGGGCAAAATACACAAACTCCAAATACTGGAATTTAAAATGATAACTGAGAACTGATAGCATAAAGCTATAGCCTCAGAAAGAAAACAGCTAAGATTTATGTGTCAAGTTCTAAAATAGTGTTTATCTACCTAGACATATCTACCTACCACCACTCACACCTACCTGTGTGAGAGCGAGGTTGGCCTACTTAAATATTTTTTGACAATAAATGTTTGTGTCCGAACCTCATCGTCATTGGTGATGTAGATGGCCTCGTTTGCAGACGCTCCAAAAACACAGGCTTTCCGGATGGAGGACAGCTCGTGCGCACTCATCAGGCTGAACATGGGCCATTTACTCACATCCACCATGATGGAGCCACTGTCTGTCTGCTGGAGGGGGGAGCCACGAATCACTCATGTGCAGCTCTTATCTGAGTTAGAGAAACAATTCTGTTGGACACTTCCAAAAAATATAGTGCCTATTGTAGTTTGAACGGCTACGGCAATGAAGCATATCGATCTTATATATCGATTTATAATTGCCACATTTAATTTGTACCACCAGTCCTGATAAATTAGGACTGCTGTAATGATTTCTAAATGTATAATGTATGGGTTGTGTGCGTACTATTGCACTGGAGTCAGAAAGCTCCGCTACTGATGCCACTTGTTTTTTATGCACGGGCTATATAAGGCCTACTATGTAATGAGCTAAAAGCATTAAAATAACCTGCGTAAGATACTCGTGATACAAACGCACCTTTCGCAGCGGGGTCCCATCCTCAGTGCGAAGGCTGTGCACAGATCCATGGTGAACAGCGACTGTTCAAAACAAAGTAAACGAGCCGAAGGAAACTACGAACTTCCATGACGTTTATTTGCGGAAGCAGCTGCGGGAAACAATACCACGTGACTGCACTGAGCAGACGAAAGTAAAGCGCGCGACACCCTCCTCCTCCTCCTCCTCATCATTATTATTATTCTATTATCATTGACGCCACGTGTTTGCGATATGCACAGTGATGTATAATGCAAGGAGGGCTGTACAAAAATATATAGCCCTGGCCTTTGTTAATGATATAATATATTATAGGCTAAAATATGTTAAATAAATTGTTACAGCCCTTGCTGCATTATAATGAGAATTTACTTTCATTTACTTATGAGATATTTGGGTTTCATGACAAACGAATCTTCATATAACTTAATTTTCCCCATGGAAAAATACTTATACTAACCACAAACCCTGGGTTGTGACTTGTTGACAGAAAACTACATTTTAAATTCTCATATGAAATAAATAAATTTAAATAAATTAAAATTTTCATTGTATCACTGAACAGCATTTCAACCAAAAGGTTTGTAATCACAACACTCGGAAGGACCAAACAGCTAAACAGCAAGTTTATTATGGTTAAGATGAGACAAATAATGTCTTGATGAGGATATGAAAGGAAATGTCAAATCTCCTGACTGAGTCATGGCGATGAGAACTGTTGCTGCATTTGGAGTTATGAGTAAGAGAAAAGTGTTTTACAAAGTTCAGTGAATATTTTAGAAGAGAAAGATCTCTCAACAGCAGAGAGCAGCATAGACCATTCCCATGGCAAACCTCCACCGCACAGGGAGACCATAGATTACTGTACAACTCCCATTTCAGTGTAGTCCAGATACTTAAAGAAATGTCTATTTTAATAAAATGAAAAACAAAAGGCACAATGATTTTCAACTCATTCTTATCTTTAATATGCACAAGAGTTGAAAGCATCAATGAGCCACCTTAAAGAGAATAATTCAATCTAAAATTTATAAAAAGATATAAACAACCAGAGGCCAAAACGCTGTCTGTTGTTCTTCTCCTATTATTTATTTAAAACAACTTTTCATTAGCAAGTAAAAATCTTGCAACAAACATAAGCTTGTATCCAATTTAGATACAAGACAACAAAATTGTAAATCTTTAAAGTGGCTCGGCCTAGTCTGCCATTTAATGACTGTACATCCTCTCTATAGCTTTGTTCAGTTATAAACAGCTAGACCCAAAAACAAAGCGTACCCCCCCTCCCCTCCCCTCCCATTTCTGACTTCTTCTCAGTAGTTAGCAGGCAACAAGAGGACCAGAATGTCTTCAGAACTGGGGCAAGGGCTGACCTACTATTTGGACACCTTAAACCCTAAACTGATGGAGACAGTGCCATTTCAGTAGCCCGTCACCACAACAAATAGGAATTAGAGCCTGTTTTGACTTCTCAGCATATCACCACAATACATATGCAAGTCAAAAATGAAAACAAAACAAGAAATATTGCTTGAACAAAAAAGCCTCCCCAGCCATTGTTATCAGTAAGATTATTGTCCATCCAATGACTGATCGCTGCAGCAGCTTTGTACAGGCTTTATGTAAATATATTTATATATTCCTTTGATGGCAAGGAGAGATACACATCACATTTTACATTAGTCATACTGGTGATGAAATTGTGACCTCTTCTTTAAACGTTAGGTAAAGAGAAGGCTGACCTGTACTCCATGATACATTAGTCTTTGATGAGTACAAGACACTTTCTGCAGACATCAATAGGCCTCTCGGACATGTGCATAAAACCAGAACAACAAATAAAAATGGAAGCTCCACAGACTCAAACTCAAAATGTGGTGTGTATAATTGTGAGACTAAGTTTTGATTTAAACAGGAATATTGCAGTTTTAATATGAATCAGGCCTGATTAATTGTGGGTCACTTTAAATATACTGATGCATAAATACAATGAGCCAGAAAGAGCTAGAACATAAAATCAAACAGTGAATTAAAACCAATGATTTAAAATGAGTTTAGATAAGTTAAGGTCAATCAGATCAACATCTTTTTTTGTCCAACCCTCCCACCCCCCTCTTTCGAGTTTCACATTACAGGGGAGTCTGGACAGGGCACTTGGTCACAGGATAAGACCAAGTTCACACTGAATAAACATTGTCCTGTGGTAGGAAAAAAAAAAGTTTTGAAATTCTTGAGAATGCTCTTAAAATTTGTCATCATCCAGATGGATTTCCATCACCTTTTGTAAGAACAAAAAATAAAATCACATTTTTAAACAACAAAGTCTAAAGTCACCAAATGTCATGCTTAAAAAAGTGACATTGAATCTAAGTCCTGTCTGTCAGTTCACCACAAATCCTTCGCCGTTTCGAGCCCTTTCACACATCCACTTGCTCCCCGCTGGACTGTCCTGGGACTCCAGTGGGGTGGGTGGGTCCATGGTTAAATCATGGCTTATGCTCTGGGATTAACTCTTTAAATTCGGGAAAGAGGGTCGTTGAGGTGCCTGGCCATTACCAATCTGTGCAACTACGTGAATGATTGTGTGCATTTGTGTATCAGTGAAAAAACACCAGGACAATCCAAGAGAGGAAAAGCACAAAATAAAACCACAAAAACCAAAACAGCAGTATTTTCCCCATATGTGATATGATGGCCTCTAACAGAAGTATGCACACCAAGTTCTTCCTACGTGTTAAATGTGTGTTGTGCCTGTATATGTGACGGTTGGAGTTCAGTGAAGACTTGACATGTAGCAATTAATACTTGCAGAGAGCGCTTTTTTCCTTCTGCGCCTCGTGTGTATATTTTTAAAAGCAGAAGATATGAACAACAATCCTCCTGATGTCTGTTGCCAGATTACATTTCCAAACTTCTACATCCTGTTTGGTATTTTGTTTGCTTTGTTGATTTAAAAAGACAGACATCCCGGTTTTGCAAAGGTGGACACAAGTCAATCCTTCAGTGGTGAATTTCCGTGGGTAAGAAAGCTATGGAAATCCTTCTGTACCAGGTTGCCAGGTTGGAGGAAAATATGGATGAATGTCTTACAGAGAGTACCCGTGCAAATGGTTGGACCGAACATCCTTGTGTTTAAAAGTTGAACTCCTTTGTCTGCATGTTGGAAGCTGGGTCAAAGGCGTAGGTTCCTCCTTGGGTGGTCTCAGGCATCACATTTGGATCTTCATCAATCTGGTTAAAATGAAAAAATACACACAATTATTTTAACAGTGAATAAAAAGAGAGAATTGGAGGAAATCACTGAATTCTTACATCGTCTCCCGAAAAGTACTGATCAATAATTTCAAAGGCTAGTTTGTAGATGTCCTCAT